TATGCTGGAGGTTGTGTTATTGAATTTTTTTGAATTTTCTGTGTGCAGAGAAATCAAGAAGCCCAAAGATGTTCTCTGGCTGCAAAGAAACCCATACAATATGCACATGTATCAAAAGACAAGAGAACACCCTTTCTGACTGACGGATTCTCTAATTCTGATTGGTGCTTTTGCTAGCGTTAACAAGCAAGCAAAGATAGCTAAAAACTGGCGCATTTAATGTACTCATAACCTGTTAGAAATCAATAGTCTTATTTCGAACTCATTKAAGTAAAGTACGTACTGTACGGTAGAACAATAGGTAGTCCTGATATTTCTCTTTCATATCATTAGTCGACTCACAAAAGGTCATGATATTTCTCTTTCATAGTACGAACCATSCACATGGTACGAGTACCAATACCTGTACAACTCTTTGACAAAATACAAACCTCCGCAAATAATCTTGGCAGTATTTATTACTTCGCACTACTAGTGGCGTTGGCATAAATAAATAACATTCGATACTGTATTCTTTGGGTCATTATTATTGCTTTATGGACTTGCGAGTACCAATCATAATTCTTCTCGTCCGGAAGAATAGTCCCATCTGCCGTAGAACAAAAGAGATAGTTAGAAAATAACCAGGCTTACGTGAGTGTTCTCTTCTCTCATCGATGATGAAAGATGAGTGATCAAATGATGGTTGTTCAAGAAGTATTTGATTGATTGTGTCAAACCTGCAACTAGAACACAAATGAGAAACTAGCAATGAACAAGGTCTCAATCCAAATACGATTACTATCGTTCTTACAATCGTTTGCAGCAGCGCCTGAATTGCATAACCATGGAGGAAGTAAATTCAAGACTCWATAGCCACCCATTCCAGTGTGTCGTTCTGTCGTGCACGAGAACACAAACTCGTCCTCGGACRCAATCCCAAGCAGATTCTTCGCTACCAACAATTCGGTCGATTCCGAACCATGTTTTGGCAAACGACGTCTTGGGATATCTCACCGACAAGACTGTAAAGAAATTTCTGGACGCCCTCGGGGTGAAAGAGCAGCGACAAATGCGATCGGAATCCGCTCTGTACTCATCTTCCCTCTCGGAACTCGGGGAACGATTCTGCACGAAACACGGGTCACGACTCGAGAACCCTCTGGGATTTTCGTCGGTTGCCGACGACGCCAAGCCCGACACAACGGACGCGAASCCATCCACGTTGTGTTGCCCGGAGTGCTACGCCGAGGAACAAAACATGAAACGATGCAATGGCTGCCGGATCTTTTATCCACGATACAACAACCCCGAAGACGACAAACCTGGCCTGTCGTGCCAACGTTGCGATCGCATGGCCTTTTGCAATGCGTGCCTGTCCAACGATCTAGATGGTTGTGGTTCGGCGGGTGTTGCCACACAATCCTTTAATTTTGGTGCCTTTGGAAGGAAACTAAGCAACAGCAACAATACACGACGGTACTGCAACACCGGTCGAATTACGTGCCAGAATTTTTGCTGCCCTAATATATTTACCAACACCATGTGCGGAGAATTCGTTTGCGATGATTGCGGGGAAGACCACCTACGGCGCCTCCAAAACATGAAATCGCAAACGAAACAAGCTGCCCCTGCAGCAGATTCGAAACCTACCAGCAGAAACGACAGTGGCGACCACCGAGAAGATACACATTTGCAAATTTCGTCCATRGGCATTCAAACCTGCGACGAGTGCGGGAAGGCCACATGCCTGGATCCCAACTGCATGGTCTGCTCCGACTTTCGGTTGGTCCACACCATTGTCACCTCGAATGGAAGCTGGGACGATGCCTACCGGTTGCCGGACCTGGGGGACCTCTTCTTTGGGCATTCGGGGGGGAACCGGAACACATGCCGCGCCGACTCCCACACCAAGCTACGGCGGAACATCTCGGACGTGGTGGTGTGGGCGGTAGTCGGGTGGTCTCTTTGCAAGATGTGGTGGCACTAGAATGCCATGTATCCGCAAGCACGCAGGCAACCACGTTCTTAGAAGCAGCTATGCCGGAAGTAGAAAGGCTAGTGGAACGATAAATTGTAGTGTAGTATAAATAGCAAAAAAGTTGTATTCTAGAGATCATTGAGTGCACAAAATGCCTATCATACTCATGCACATTAGTGTGAGATAACACAAACTCGAGGAATCTTCAAGCAGATGTCGTGAAAAACTACGAGAAGAATMAAAAACAGGAAAGAGCCTGCTGGGAATCTGGTTGTGCAACAAACCACCAAACGATGAAAAATCCACTTCAGAGACTGGGCAACTGCTTCTTGCGAATTTGATTTTTGTGCTGTGATACTATACCATGCTGATGCATGTGCTTTAATATTACAGTAATCTTTTTGGTATTTGTTGTTGAATTGTGCAATACTCAGTGGAGCTTCCCAGGTCAGCTAGCACATAATTTGCAACCATTWCTGGAGGATGAAGAGGACAATAACCATCTTGTCCTGCTGCAGCTGTCTACTGGTGCAAGGGGCAGTTGGTGGAAATTGATATAAAATATGAAATTGACGAAGTACTCGTACTCGTACTTTTTCGATGAGTCACTAAAATTAATCATGTCAGTTTCTTTCAGGGGTACAAGTACGAACTACGATACTACCTTTTACCAGTAGTCGTACTGGGTCGTGGGAGTCGAAATGATTTTCAGTACGTACTAGTACTTCGTGTACATACACTTAGTCTCCGTTCCGTCCACAGTAGGAAGCAGTGAATTTTGAATCGTGGGAGAGCGAGTCCGAATACACATAATTCAAATAAATTTTTTTTTACAACAGCAAACCGGTACGATACGAACCGTGCTGCAGTTACATTACGATACGAGTAGAACGCTCGAACGATACCAAAAGTGCCAGTACTGGAATCTACAGTAACGTACCGTRCGTGCTTTTACTTCACCGTTTTAGCTTGTCTCCAGTCTCCATCCAGCCAGGGGACTCACAATAGGACAGTACATACTCAACGGTACAAAAGTAYGAGCACGAGAGCGTGAAAACAAATTGTCAGACACACAACCAAACGAAAAAAAAACAATCGTTTTTGTTCAACCATGGCCAAATTTCCCTCGACCTCGTCCGCGGAGGAGGACGAATCCGACCACAACGACGAACAGTACTCGAGAGAGGCGTCGGAAGAGGAGAACATCGATACGAGCGTTTGGTCTCCTAGAAACAAAATCATGCTGCGATGCCTGACGGCGGGAGTCCTTCTCTACGGGGCATTGGTGGCGTATACGGACCACCAGAATGCCACAGTGGGAATCCACACCAACGCCAACATCGGTTTCAACAAAGTAGAAAATGAACCCAGAGAATYGCACCCCCGTCGACGCTTGATGGCCGTTATGGGAGATGTGGTTCCTTCCTACATGGAARCCTTGATGASAGATTTGAAGGATCGAAAGAAACTCTTTGAGGAYACTCCACCAGAAGAAATAAAGTACTGGTTCGAATACACCGGACCATTGCAAGTAAGTAATGGATAAAATACGGTTTTATGGATTCCGACGTTGTCCCGCTTCTTTTCTCATGCTTCATTCTCTCCACSATTGTTCCGTGTCCCACGATTTTCTCGCTCTCATCCATGTTCATGACTAGAAATACTTCTATCGCTTTAGTAAATCTCGAGGCAAGGCCGATTACTTCGAGGGCCGCGATGATTCTGGCGTCACATCCAGTCGGTTTACAGAAGAATTCTTAGGGGGGTCGGAACACAACCGCATGTTCAATGGTGGAGCTGCTGGAGAAGCACACAAATCGAAGACTGGGTCCAATCAACACAGGATGCAATACCGGTTGCTTGAAAACTGTTTGGCAATGGGAAGCCCATCACGGCCCGATACTAACACACCTGTCTGGAAGGAGTGGTATGGTAACAAAGACGGTGTCGAGCACGATACATACGGGATGGACCGCTGTCGGGTCTTGTTCACACTCAACACGGTTGGTGCCGGACGCGGGACTACAATGATATGGGAAACTTCGCCACCCGCCTTGCCTCATGCGCAGGGCCCTGATCGATGGATGTCCGAGCAAGAAACAKCCGCYACACATATCCAACGCCAGCTTGAGGAAATCGATGCCATGTGTGCGACCAACCAGGTCGCCGCCCGCGTTCAGGTGTTGGTGTGCGAACCCATTTCGGCTCGTTGGACCGAGTGGATGGATTCCCTCTTGCCCCACTGTGGGGGCAAGGTCAGTGACCTATCTCAAGTGGACAAGAAAACTGCCAAGGTTGAAGATCGGGCCAGTCCCATTCAGGTGGTGGTGGTCGCCACTGCGGAATCCGCGGGAGTATGCCACGACCTCAAGTCGGGATTTATGGAACGCCGGACCCAGGACCTGATTTTRGCACCACCATTTTTGGGTGACGGAGCAAAGACAAACGGTGATGTATCCATCGATAATGCAGCTATAAAGACAACTCACCCCGATTTGGTGAGCAGCGACGACCATGACATGTACGTTGGGTTGAAGTGGACCTCACTTGTCACCATGAGGGCCCTTTCTTCCTTTTTACAGGCCTCTGCAGACATTGCGGCGGGGGCGACCTCACCCGTTAATAAGGTTCAATCRTTGGAAGACACGAGTGTCATCAATGGCCCTTCGAGCCCCTTTCTGATCCCTTCATTTGTCCGAGTMTCGTAYGTGAGCGAGGAAAATGCAAAGGTGGCCAAGTGGCGCATGCATGGAGATTTCTTCCACCCAGCGGCTTGGGAAGTCTGCAAGGACTCGTTTGAATTGACCTGGATTGATCACTCTCTCAGTGGGTCCGGCGGAATYAACGGCTTGTGCGACGATCCGTCYACAAAGACGGCCATGAAGCGTCGTTTGAAGGAGGCTGCTGGCGATGACARCAAGGTTGACTGTGGCCAATGGTGGGTGTACATGACGGAACTTCAGATGCCGACGTCTCCGGATGTATACGCCAATGAAGTGACTCCGCCCATCGTCCAGGGTGGATCTAACTTTGTATGGATGGTGACCGAACGYCAGCGRAGGGAAATCGTCAGTAGACARGTCTGTATGAAGAAGGCTTCTAGTTCCCCCGAAAAAGACAAGCTAGAGGCAGAGTGCCCGGCACCTCCCCAGGCTGTCATGCCCCTAGGAGACCTAGAATCCTTTTTGATCAATTACTCTCCCAACACGGCCCTCGGCAAGAAGCACGTGAAAGAACGACGCCCGGGATATTCGCGCCAGACCGAGCGAGAGGCCGAGAGGGAACTCGTAAGGGAACGCAAGCAGCTCAAGGGACAGGAAGATATCGAAAAGGCCCTGTTTGATTACACTGTATATCCCGCCGCCCTCTTTCGGAAGGATGCCACCCTTTCGGCGGCCCGGGCTCGCGATGCCGTTTTGGTGGACCAAAAGAAGAAGAAGGGAGACGACGACAACGAGGAGGTCATTGGTCCCCAATTCATCAAGTCGGCCTACTACGACGTGACGGTCACCAAGCCCCGATCCCCTGTCTTGGGATGGTGCCAGGCCATTGCCCGCAAGGGTCTGTGCACTCTTTATGCCGACTATTTCCGAACTTCTTCCGATGTGAGGTGTTTGGAGGCCTGCGGAATGAAGAAGAACTTTTCYAAAATTGAATGAACAGAAACGAAGTAATTTATCAAGCGATAGATCTAGAACCAAACTCCCTCGTTRMGTCGTGCCGAGCCACCAAAATAAAAAACGCAACAGACTCCAACGAGAATGTATCCCAACGACTGACCAGTGTTTCAGGAAGTGTTCYAATCACCGTTGTTATTTTAGTAGCTATGACATTTTTTGCGCTAAATACTACATCAATTGGACTRTGCTAGCCTGCCTGAATGATTCAATTCTAYAGAAGTCGTAATTTGTCAATCATTTCAGTCGTAGAAATAATGGTTTACTGAACATAGTTAGTGTTATTTACGTCGCAAGAGTGACTTCTACTGAAACACAAATTCACWACAATTGATTGATGACTCCTTCCCATTGCACCATTCTATTACCACTAGTCATAAATTTCTATGTATCGCATCYAGACTCGGTTCGATCCATTTCTGATCCCAAATCCATTCGTTTCGAACCACTCTCTAAAACGAGTCGAGTGGACCCTCCGTTGCACCCTTGATATAKGTTTCGACGTAGTGCTGGCGGGACTTGTGKTCCTCCTGGGGCCGGTTGAAGGGCGTCCAAACGGGCTGCCCGATGAACAATCGCATGGCCTGGATGTAGTCGGTTTCGTCGCAGGTAAAGCGGTGGTAGCATCCCTCGGGCAGCGTCATGAGATCCCCCTTCTTGATCCAGATGCGGATCCATTTGTCCTCCTTGTCGCGAATGTCAAAGTATCCGCTTCCATCTATGATGTAACGGATTTCTTCGGCGTCGTGGATGTGTTCCTCGTAAAAGGCCTTGATTTTTTCGTCGTACCCCGGCAAAAGATCGGGTCTGACGGAGATAATGTCGGCGTACGAGTAACCACCTGGATGGATTACACATGAATTTTCGGTGTCAGAGATCACGTGAAAAAATGGTTTGTGACAAGGGTTAGCAACGATTCGATGCGCAACAACTGGATACTGTACTCAATTCCATCCAAATCATACGCAATGCACACCAATCGCGGCACACGGGTTGCGTCCCGTTAATACTCACGTGCGTCGCGGATTTCCTTCAGCTTGGGGTCGGTCGCGTCCTTCGGATCCCACGGAATGGCCTTGGCGGGATACTTGTAGGTTTCGGCGTCCATCTTCCAGAAGCCAATCCCGAGATCCTTCAGGAGTTYGACCGTGGCGGGCTTGTTGGGCTCCAGTCGGTTGAGTGCCTTTTGGTCCTCGTAGGTTCCGTCGTCCATCATGTACCAGGCCTCGGGCCAGTCCGAGTCGGGGGCCATGGGGTACGACGAGTTCTTGGGTTCTGCGGCGGTCATTGCTGGTTCGGAAGGGGTCTTATCTTCGTCTTCGTCGGTCTTTTTCTCTTCGCTTTCGTCGATTTTTTGCTTCTTGGCTTCTGGTTCCTCTGGAGTTGGTTCGGTGGCGGGGACTTTGGCGGTCTTGTCTTCTTCGGTGCTCATCGTTTCTGCCTGGCGCGTTCGCGATTTTCGACGATCGATGGATTCGTTCGGGCTGCTAGGAAGTTTGTGGAATCTTAACCTCGAAGTTTTTCGTGATCCCCAGCTTGCGTTTCTTCCTCGCCGCCGGCCGGGAGAGCAGTTGAGAAACGGAGACGCTGGATATGATCCGGTGTCATGTCCCCAAGTGTTCGTGTACAATCTTGCCACTACCCAGTACCGTACTATTGATTTCAACGTTGTTCTTCAGAAAGGTTCTCATTAATATTTTTATCAACACGAGGTCTATCTTTCATGTTTTTTTTTTAACGATAGGATTGGGCAGTTTACTGTACTGGATTGGATACCAGCCTCCCCTGGATTGGAAACAAGTAGCTCGTACTGCAGCATATATTTTTCCTTACCTACCGGTATGAGGCTCAATCCAAAGTAAAAAGGATTCTCTCAAGTACTTCGAAGTACCTTTTTGTATTGTTCTTCGTGTCAATGTTCGGACTGAATCAGCTAAGGAGTGCCGTAATGGTTTTAATGTACAGTACGTACTTTTATGTACTAAGTACAGTAGCTGGGTATGCTATGTACGTACAATCACGATTCGTAGAGTACATATGCTACGTACATACTCGAACTCGTACAGTACCTCCGCCCGACGGACGATACGTACGTACCGTACCGTACGACAGTTGATGGTTTTTCGTTTTTCACCTCGTTTTTGACCTGATTTTGTGATCATTTAGTTGTCGACTGCATCCGTGTGAACGAAGATATGGTACTGTACATCACTTACGATACCGTCCGATTTACCTATTGGTTTAGAACACTGTGCTGAAGCATCTATGCCGACGACCAAATCCAAATCCAAATCCAAATCCAAATCCAAATCCAAATCCAAATCAATCAACCAATCAAGTACTGCATCCCATCCAATTTTGATTCATCCATTCCTCGATAACCACAATCGTTCTCTGCGTGGTGTGCGATGTCTCCGGTGCCGTGTTAGGTGAAAGTCTAGTGGATTAATCGGGCGGAGGTTGATTCCATTTCAATTATGATCACATATCAGAAATAGCAAACAGTGGCAAAAAAACACAGCGAGAGTATCAACAACTAAAGCGACCAACGTGCGAGATGAGAATTCTTCCTTCGATGTTTCGGGCAATCGCCATTCTGGTGTCTGTTTTTGTTATTCCAACCCGAGTGGTTCCCGCTAGCGGTGTCGTTCCGGAGAGCGTGTCTGAGATTGTAGAAGAAGAAGATGCAACAGAAGAAGACGAAGCGTTCCAAGACTTTGTCCACGCAACTGGTGCTGGTGGTCCTGATGAGACTGGTGCCGTTGCAAAGATCGAGCACCAGGGGAGCAAAACCAAAACCAATGATGCAGAAGATAGTATCGTTCGCAAACATTACCTATCGCGGTTTCCCTTATTTCGGTTTTTCCAGAACGAACCACCCAAGAAGAATCAATACACTGATTTTCGGCACAAACTACCGTTCTTCGTTTCGATGTTTGGTGGTCACGAAAATGATTCGAAACCCGCACAGGACCCTGGTCGCCCAACGAACGAACGCGTCATCGATGACAAAGACGGCTTCCACGGAGATAGGGAGAAAATCGAGCAGGTAATGCAAAGGTTTTACGAAGGTGTAGAGGAGTATCCCAGGTTTGCAAGAAGCATCGTGTCCTCTCTGATAGCCACACGAAGCCGTCGACAAGTCCACAACCGATACGACTATCGAACAACCCAAAACCTCCTCTTGCTTCGACCACGAACAATTCCACACAACTATGAGAAAGATGAACATGCAAATGGGGATCGTGCTAACAAGGATGATGAGGACGAGGACGACAACAACGACGAATTGCAGCCGGGCACAGTATTGGAAGTCTCTTCTCGGCGTTCGCCTACCCATATGCAGAATGGGAACAGCGATGTCTCGTACGAACTCGTGAAAAAGATACCCCACGAGCTAGGCGAGGCGCCACCAAAACATTACTCGGATTTTGCCTACACCTCTGTTATAATAAAAGAATCGTTTTCGTCGACGACATCGCCGTTCGTACCTGTTTCTGTTCAACCATTGGTTACCTCGAACTCTGCCAAGGACGCTGCGGCAGAAGTGAATAACAATGGCAACGAGGACCACGAGAACAGCAGCAACAAAAAGCTGTATTTTGATCGGTCGTCACCGAATGTCGCCTTTTTCCCTTCCGACTGGTGGAAATGGTGGATGCCCTTCTCAGACAGCGATTGGTGGAAGACAAACGGGTCCACHAAGGACGATTTTCGCACAGTAGAGTCGACCGCTTTTGCGGGTGGCAGTAACGGAGAGGTTTGGAGGGGGCGACGGGTTTGTCAAAAAAAGCACGAGAGCGAATCAGACGCGGACAATGTCAACGAATATGCAAAGTATCGCGATAACCAAGCTATGTTTGGGAAGTCAAACAGCCAGAATAATATCAAGAACAAAAAACAATCATGGAAGGAGGAGAACCATGAAGGCAGTTGTTTCGATTTTGATGACACGAAATCCTGCGATGGTGACGACCCAGATGGTGAACCGATAGCTGGAGGCGACGACAAAAAATGCGATGACCAAACTCCCTTGGTGCTGAAACGTCTGAAAATCGAACGAGGATATCTATTGTTGGAGGCGGGGTTGAGAGAGATCTACTTTGGAAAATTGATTTCGCGAGTGCTAGAGGAAAGCAAGCGTGATAGTTTCACGGTGTACGTCGATCATTTCTTTCGAGAAGTTCCGCAACGACGACGTACATACAACAACAAAAGGGTGTTTGGAGGGCTCCCAACAAAGAACCAAAACAACGATGAATATGATGACGACGACTCTAATAATAAGGATTATCAAGCGGCAAATGATTTGGAATTGTGGATTGTCTTTGAAGATGCTGGACCGTCTCTACGATCCTACATATACACCCCATTGGCATCAGATGGCGGATTTGTCATGCATCAGCACAGCAAGTTGTGGACTATGCTCCGCACCTTCACTAATGAGAAACGAGCAACTTCGAAAGAGAGAACCAGACCGAGAGACAGAGATCGCAACAATTGGGAAGGAGACGATGGTGATTCGTCTCTAGAAATTAGAAATAATTCTACCGAACCAACTCGGTCGCCGACCAAGGGAGGAGAGCAGCTGAACCAAAAGAAGATCGGACAACAGTTTATGCAAAAAATTCTCCGCGAGATTCTCGAGGCAGCGGCCGAGTTGCACAGGAGAGGAATCGTCCACCGCGATATCAAACCCTCCAATGTTATGTGCAAATCGGACAAGCCGTTGTCCGATCTTTTTAAGGCGTCGTCATCTGATTCATTGTTGCTAAACATAGATTGTCGGTTGGGAGACTTTTCGTCAGGATGGGACCGGTACACCTCCGAAAAGCTATTCACCAAGGGGCCCACTCCGGGTGAACAAACTGACGAGTACGCGCCGCCTGAATCCTACGTTGGGCCTTATTGGAAACCCTTCGATAAAGACAAGCCACATTCCTATGATTCCTGGAGCATTGGAGTTCTGGCTCTAGAGTTGCTTCTCGGGACACCCCAAGTCTTTTCGGTCGATCAGCGAACAAACGCGCTGTTGACAAATCAGATGAAACGCGCTGGGGCATCGGACGACGAACTCGAATATGCTTTGTTTCTGGCGGCACTCTCAAACTTTTGCATTTTTGTCCCGTCCAACGTAGCTTCTAGGGTAGAGGAAAGCTGGCCCCTCGGGCGCGGCGATCCATTACACAAGGTAACTAGCAAATGTGCACGAGCGGATTTCGGCTGAAATCTTACTGTGTACATTCATGATATAAGACTTGAAGGCTGCCCAGCCTAAGCAACCCTTTTGTTCTTTTCTATAATCGTTGTATTTTGAAGACTGCAATGGTGACGGAATCTTGTACGCTTCAAGATTTTCATCGTGCACTCCGAGCTCGTGATCCCCTGGGAATTGGATTCGACTCATCAACCGATCTTCTCTTGCATCTCATATGGAAGCTACTCGCGTACGAGCCAAACGAACGCATTACCGCTGAGGAGGCCCTCAATCACCCATACTTCATTAGTCCCGATGGAACCTTAGAGTCCCTAAATCGAATACCGGGTTTTCACAACGCCCTGGAGTCTCAGATGCTCGATCCTCGAATAGATTTCGATGCAGAAGATGAGGTGAAAGATTTCGAGTGCCCTCGCTGTGGCAGAGTCTTCCACGACTGGCGGTCTTGTCACCAGCATGCCAATCTCCGGAAACACGCAAAGTTCTGTAGCTACAATCGTAGCGCACTCCCATCTTGCATCAATACGCATTCTATGCTTCCGGAACATGCAACATCGGGATGGTGTGATTTGCAGGGGCGGAGACCAACTATCGAGGATTTCCATTCTATTCATCTTCACCAAGACCATCAATTTTATGGTATCTTCGATGGTCACAGTAAGTGTTGATTCAATACGGTCGATTACGTAGGTAGTCGAGGTATGAAGTCTAAATGAGCTGATGAAGATAGTGAGATTTGCTTTTCTTCGAATTGTGTGATAACAAAGTCTCGTCTCTACAATTTTCTTGCATTGCATCCATGTACGTATGGATATATATACAGCGGGTAACCTCGCATCAAAATTTGCTACTTCGGAATTGTATAGAGAGCTTCTTAATCATCTTCCCAGCGTCAGAGAACTGAATCGACAAAGTGACAGCGACAGCACAGGTGAATGGAAAGAAAGAATCAAGACTAATGTGACGAACGCCTTCGAAGTGGTTCACGAAAGATTTTTAGATAGAATAAATACCGTGACTTCGCATTCCATACCGAAAATGGATCAAAGCGGGACGACGGCGACGGCTATGCTAGTGACTGATTCGGTTGTAATTGTGGCAGTTTTGGGTGACTCGAGGGGTGTTATGGCATCTGCCAAGGACAGAGATGGTGAGGGGGTTTCGGGATCGTCAAAAAGGAGTCGCAAAATCCATTGGAAGGATTTTCCGAGCGTATCGGCAATTCCGTTTTCCATCGATCACGTTGCTTCCGATCCAAGGGAGCGCGAATTAGTGATCCAGCGGGGTGGATTTGTGAGCAACGTGGGGGGCATGCCCCGCGTCAACGGCACCCTAGCGATCACGCGCTCCATTGGTGACGCCAATCTGGCTCCCGTTCTTTCCCGAGAACCAAGTGTCGTGGCCTTTGATCGGTCGGAGATGAAAGATATGTGTGGAGATCTCGGCCAGTCAGAGGAACGGAGTAATGCGGTAGCCATCCCCTGCTTTGTTATATTAGGTAAGTCTATCGTTTTTGCTTAAACCGGAATGCGCCAACATTCAAACTAACAATTCTTTTTCGAAACCAACCAACATGCGCAGCGAGCGATGGATTGTGGGACGTTATGAGCAATCAAGAGGCAGTAGACTTCGTGGTCGACACCTTTTTACAACGCAGCAAAGCCCCGAACGCCTCCGACGAAATAGCTCTGTTCTCGCAGGCAAAGGAAGAGGACAGCTACGAAGGCAATGTAGGGGTCTTTCAAGAATCTGCGGAACGTCTTGCCGTTGAGGCATACGTACGAGGAAGCACCGACAACATCGGCGTATGTGTGGTGGCAATCGACTGATGGTATCACAATGATAATAGATTGATGTTGAACCGCCTTGTCCTGATGACTTTATCGGCCTTTCATTGCTACCTCATAGAGAAATGGGGGCTTTCGGCTATAGCTACGTACCTAAGTTGCATATTCTATATCTACCTCGAAAGGTCTATGGTGATTGAGAGAAAAACAATTTTCAACCTCTGCACAGGTCAATATGATCTCAATGCACACAGTTGAAGTTCTGATGTTGCCTCTGTTAGAACTCTGTATGTCTTTTCACGAGCACGATGTTCAACTTTCGAAAGCGAACTAAAATCGTTCCAGAGTGCAACGTCCATCGCGTTTTCAAAACTCAAACTTAATACGAATAGAACATATTTAAATGTAAATGATGATGATAATATAAGCCGAATGCCAGAACGTTATACACAGGCCTTCGAGGGTAATCGGCACGAAATACCTCAACTCGATGTGAACCATCACGCACTACGCCACGTTGTTTTACTGTGCCACTCTTTTGCTTTGTTCTGTAGTATTGTGACACTCCATACTGTGCTTCTTTTGCTTTCTTTTGTTTGCCGCTTTTTTGCACAATGGGATGGGGTTGGCAAACGATTTTAGAACTGACAAGTCGTCGGAAGATCTTCTATTGCATTGCAATGCATGGCGTTGTGTGGCATTTGTGTGTGTTCTCAATCCCGGAACCGGCACACGGCGAGGCTCCCCAGAAGGAGGACTAATGTGTTCGCCACAATGCCGGGATTGGTCGCATCGAGGAATGCTCCGGTCAGCACGGCAAAGAGCGCATAAAAGAAGGTCATCACAAAAGCCAGAACAGCCAGGGCCGCGGTGCTAGCGTTTCCGAGCGTCGGGTCCATGAACCAATAGATGTATTGGGGTCCCTTATCGTGGGAGTCCCCAAAGTATGCCGTAGCCATAGTCCATGTGAACAAAATGTATACCACCCCCATGAAGGTTGCCATGGACAGGTGGGAAAAGACAACGGGGATGCCGCCCAACACCGTTACCTCCAGGAGCGAAAAAATGGAATTGCAGTTGTGCTGGAGCTGGTTTCTGATCCCGGCCAGGTTGTGGGGCTTCCCGCCCTTCACGACCTGTGGCCAAATGCTGTACTTGACGACGCAGGACACGAGCATGGCCAGGGGGGCCGACATTTCCCACAGGACCATTGTGGTCCGCAGCAGCGCCCTGTTTTGCAGGACGTGTTTCTCCAGCAGGGCCCTCTGGGCCTCGTCCGGCGCAAACCCGAGAACGTCTCCCCCTTCTTCCACCAGGCAGGCCGCCAGGGCCACCAGCCCCCGGGTTAGGAAGCCGACACCGAACATCGTCCAGCACCACGACGTAAAGGGACAAAGGGTGCCGATTCCCTGGAGGCGCACACAGACGTCTCTTCGCAGCTTGGTATGGGGCTTGTAGTTCGGGTGGACGTCCCACCCCTCGTTGATGCATGCAAGGTAAAACGTGAGCCCGAGGGCAACGAATGCCGTCCCCAGGCGAATCAACGCGAGTCCCTTGAGGGACACGAGGCCGGGATAGACCCGGTGCGTCCACGTTTCCACGGTCGACAGGTCATCCAGTTCTTCGGATGAAGGCAGGAACGGAATCGTCACGGACAGCATGGTCGCGAGGAAGGTCATGGAATGCCACGGTGGCATTCCCGTTGGGAGGGGTTGGACTACGTCATTCTTGTGGTCGTCTGCACTGGTTGTCTTTTTGTTTGGATCCATGGAGTTCGCGTCGGAGGCTTTTTCGTTGGCATCGCCTCGGTCGGTGGGCATCGTTTTCTTCTGATTTCAAGAGACGAGAAACGGTGCGAATGGAGGCTTGAAAAGATAGGATGATCGATCGAACGAACGAATGGAGATGCCAATGAAAGGTTCGGGCTTGCCTGGGCTGGGATGGACTGGCGGCAGAGTCGGAACCCTGCGCAACGCAAGATCTTTCGCAAAATTGGTTCTGTGAAATACTGTAATAGCAATCATACGGTACCGTGAAGCGCTACCAGAACCAAACAGAACGTACCGTTAGTGGCGTAGAATACCGTACACATCCTACGAAGGAGGAAAAACGGAAAAACAGTCCAAAATCAATCTTCTCGATACGAATCAAATCAATAGATCATCGGTTTTCCTTCACGTGCGGTTTAAGGTCGTTTCGACCCCGCGCCCTCCTACGTGTGTCGTGCAACGTAGCACCTGCGTGATCGAAAAAGTGTCGGGATCTCATACTTCATGTGGGAAGAAGTATGAGTACGAGTTTTGGTGCGTTGTAAGACGTGACAGCTTTTTTTCAGTACAAAATATACACAGCTCTACGTGTGGAACGATAGTCTTAATTTACACCCTGCACCTCAAGCTGTCACTTAGTTCCACCTGGAACCAAAAAGGAACCCGGTACACGCAAATTGTTACGAGGACCCACTGGAGGACGCTGATACTACGGGGGACGAGGATGATGATATGGAGGAGCTACTGATACGGAGGAGGATGCTGATACGGAGGAGCTACTGATACTACGGGGGGGAGGGGGATGCCTGTTAGAAATCAATAGTCTTATAACGCACTCAAACTGGTACGAGGACTCGTACACATGTAAGACACCTTGTCTTAGATGTACTTAGTATGTACTACTAGTATGATTATGTTCCAGGATGTATGATGTACGGTACCGTACCATGTACAATGTACAATGTACAGTACGTACCGTACGATGAACCGTACATTACTTTATGGTATGTGAGTACGAATTATACGTAATGTATTTACCCAGTAATGTAGGATGGCCTGGCCTGGAGTACGCTCAAGTACGTACCAGTTTAAGCGATATAAAATGCGTTAATCGTAGAATCCTACCATGCCCTACAGGGCAAAAAGGCATTCTACTCAAACACCAAAGATTATTACTAGTAAAATCATGTGTTAATTTTGAAGCCCACTATTTAGTACTGATCCTACATCGAACTACTAGTATTTGGTCATTTTTTGACCACAAACAGTGTAATAGGACATTTAGAACTGCTCCAGTATGGCCTGAGAGGAGCTGTTCTTTGGGGAAGAGCTTCCTAATAGTGCTGGGAACAGCGCCATGTGTTATTGTTATACGATTAGAGGCCTTGGGGGAGCCGGTTCTCCATTAACAGCTGGTATGGCCAAATTTGGCCAGTGGAGACCGGCTACTGGTTAGGAAATAGGCCAGAACTCTATCAAAAAACAACTTTAGACCACCAGACTAAGCGCCCAGACCGAGTTGATACAATTACTTAGAGATCCAGGTCATTGGGAAGCCAAAGGATGCTCTAGGGGCTTCGAACTAGTCATCCAAAGTTACAGTAGTAGTGTGGCCAAAAATCGTTAATTTTTGCTGTTTTTTTATTCTGGTTAAACTCGTACCTTATCTATTCGTACACCGGGGTCATAATTTAGAGGGGTGCGCATGCATCACGTCGAGTGTCCAAATTTCCAAAAAGTCACTCAAGGATTTATTTTCATTCTTATGAATTAGTACTACTACTAGTAGTACTACTATGGAAATTATGTTCATTTTTCATTAGTAAAATAGTACCACAAATATCAATTTAATATCCAACAAAATGGTATATTMAGAATCAGCATTAAAAACTGGACTAGACTGGCTACTCAAAAATCAAAATAGTATTTTTGATAGAGCTGTAACTGCTTAAAGGTTGGATAGTTTTACTAGTAGTATTATGGAGTAAAAATGAGAGTGAAAAAAATCTTTGACTTTTTGGAAATTTGGACCACACGTGGAATATGAGTTTCACTTTTTTTTTCGTGCTTCGTGATGCGCAAAAAAATTCGATGCGCACCCCTCTAAATTATGACCCCTGTTCGTACAATGGTACTCGTACTCGTACCCAGGATTATTCCTAGCGATGAAAAAGTATCGTACGCACTGGTAGTACGTACGTACGTACTACGTACCTACGATACGTACTTTTGAATTCGGTAGTCACATTTCCGCAAAATGTTCATAGCTCTACTTACCCCGTATGTCCCGGTTTCTTTTTTTGGGGGTGGGCAATTCTGAGAATTTCACAGAATTATTTGATTGTCGTGCCAAGCGAAGCTTTGTCCGTATTCATCCATAAGTCCTCGGTAGATTTAACACAAAAACGGGACCTTTTAGGTCGAAAGAACAAAAACAATTGGGACGATTCAGTGTTGTGACGGATCAACGTTACTCGAATGCACCGAAAACACTTTTTGCTGACTAACCCAATGAATGACCATCCGGCTCGTATTACTTGATTAAATGTTGACACAGGAGAACCAATTCTTACCAAGACAAGAGCCAACAATTATTCCCTTGGATCACCATACCCTATACTGGTAAGACTATTATTAATACTTTTCCGTTTCAGGTAAAATTGTGTCACAATGGCGCGTTTCATCGCACAGACCTCCACTCAATGGCCCTTTCGCAATACTTAAGTTGCAATTGTCACGCCGCCCCTCGAAGGGAACGTTCCGAGGTTCACGGCCAAAACCGTGTGGTCCTTCGAACAAAGTTAACAACCTACCAACTATTTTAATGTCAGTGGGCCACCACGGCAGAGCCATTACGAGGCAACAATTAATGTCGGTGGCTTCAAACCCACACCACACATAGCCAACACATTCCATAGCAAATAATCGCCAAGTTCAAAACGAAATCCTTCTTATTCGCGGTGCTTTCTGTATACATATATCCTGGATTTTGTTGGTTGCAACTGTTACATGGCACTGCATCCCTTCCAATAAACGCAAACTATCCTTCTTTATCATGCCGAAAACGCATGTTGCGTTGTTGCTGTTCTTCTTTGCTGGCAGTTGCTGGAATCTAACAATATTTGCTGCTGCCGTGGATGTCACACCAAACGAAACGGCCACAAGAGCAACGGGAGAAGCAACCACATCACGGTCTTCGCCTTCGCCTTTCAATCTCCGGAGTGGAGAGAAGACGAAGCAAGAACAGCAGCAGCAGCAGCAGCAACAGCAAATACAAGCGGCAACACGAATCCTGCAGGTACGAGCCAATGAAGGAAAAGAGGAACGCGACGCGGCAGACCCATTCCTCGAATGCACGCTGTACCTCCTCGATACGGAATACATGGAAGGAGAGACGATTCACTCGAAAGACCAGTGGTGCTGCGAGTTCGACGAGGCCTTTGCCAGGGACCGGCTGGGAGTCGCCGATCCCTTTTACCGGCTCGAGGGGCTCTCCGAGGAGGACCTCCTGCGCTCGGTGGCACCAGACCCGGGCGAGGGGGCAGCAAAATCTCCCTCCCTCGAGAGCGGGGCGTTCCTCCTTCGATTCCGGACCGGGAGGATCGATCGCAAGGCGGGCACACTGGAGGTCGCACCGTCTTCCATCACGGGGCTCGCGGCCAGGGACGTCGCCACGGCCGGGCACCGGGGGCTGTCGACGTCTCCTTCGGCAGCGGGCCACCGGCGCACCCTGGTGGTCCGGATCACGTCGCACGACGGAAGCCTCCAGCCGATGGTTTCTTCCATGGATATCCGCCGCGCCGTCTTTGGGCAAGAGGAGGCCAGTGAAATCAACCTTGGTAGCCCGGACCACGACGCCGACGAACAAGGCACCCCCGTGCTCTCGACCCGGATCCAGTTCGAGCGGTGCTCCTACCGCCAAATGACCCTGGAGCCCTTCGACGGGACGACGCTGGGAGATTTTCGGTACGGGATTCGACCGATGGAGATCGCGAACGGTGTAGTCGACCTGGCCCTCACGGAGGAGCAATCTCTGGAGCTCGCAGACACCGACCCGGATACGGGCTACAGCACCATCAAACCCAACATCATCATGCGGTACTCCCGCGAGGTCGCTGCCGCCAAGCTGGGGAACCTCCGGCAGCAGTTCGACCACGTCCTGTACTGCCTCCCGGAGACCGTGACCGGCTTTCTAGCCACGGCGATTATCAACCGGTACAACTCCTGGTACACAGGCGATCTGTGTACCAGCCTGCCAGTCACGATGCACGAGATCKGGCACAACCTGGGCCTGGAGCACGCCGGGTTCAAGGAAATCTACGACGACACGACGGGGTACATGGGCTACAGCTCCTTCGAGGACACCGTCAAGTGCTTCAACCCCGCCAATAGCTACAAGCTTGGGTGGTACGACAAGCAAACCGTCTCCGTCGATCCCATCCGCCTTTCGGATGGCTACCACCGCTTCCTGCTCCGCGGGATCGTGGACTACGAACCGGGGGAACCGATCGAGCCAGAAAAGGCCGGAACCAGCAGCAACACCGACTACGGCATCGGGGAGGCGCCCGTCACCATCCCCGGGAGCGGAGACCGCGACGGGCGCGAGGATTCGCCGGTGGTGGTCCTGCGGCTGCAAACCAAAGGAGCCCAGGGGGACTACTACGTGGGGTACAACCGCAGGGTGGGGATGAACGAAGGAACCGAAGGGTGGCCCGACGCCGTCCTGGTGGTGCAGAAACTCGGGAGCGCCATGGGGGCGGCCCAGACGAAGCTAAAGGCCGCACTGCGGTCGCCGGGGGACGCCTACGCCATCCAGGGGCACAACGGCAAGGCCGGCCGTCCGCTGTACATTCGGTGGGAGTCCCTGTCGGCGGACGGGAGAGACGCGGTCGTCGTGCTTTCCACCACCGAAACCAGGGCGCCCTCGGTGGCCCCGACGGCTCTGCCCGGCCCGGGTGGCGACGACGAGAGCTTTCGCTACAAGTGGGATCCCTCTCTGGACTGCGGCTGGGTGGCCAGAAACCCGGACAAGCGTTGCTCCTACCGGTGGAAGGGAAAGGCTGTCTCCGGTCACTGGTGCCCGGCGGCCTGCTCCGGGGTCGCCACCGGCCCCGGTTCCTCGGGCCACTGCAGGAAGGGGGGGGACGATCCCTCCTTTTCCTTCAATGGGTTCGGGAAGGCCGTCGTCAAGGACTGCGAATGGGTCCGGGCCAAGCCCAAGAAACGGTGCTCCAAGCAATACACCAAGAACAAGAACAAGAACAAAATCCAGACGGCCTTCAAGTATTGTCCTGACTCGTGCCGTCTTTGCTAACAGCGACAGAAGAAGGGAAGACGCTACGCCACGCCATGCCACGCCACAAGACAAGACAAGACAAGACAAGACAAGGACGCAAATCACAACAGGTGCATGACACATGTCGTCATACATAGATTTCAAATATAGACTATAGAGGTACAAATTTTATAGATACAACTTTATTCCATCCTGCTGTTCAATCCAATGGATCCAGAGCTGGAAATGATTGTAGCGCAGGATACTTCATGATAAGCTTCTATTTTCGAATTTTCAACAGATACCGTTCATTTTGCTTGATGCAAGGCAATTTTTACGGTCACAGGCCGATGCCTGCAGTGCGGTACAATCATAACATCCTACAGAGCATCCAATTTGGGAAGGGAGGAACTGTGCAGTGCATCTTGACCCATCTTGACCATGTTGAAACAGCATGGAATGCGTTTGGTCGTAACCTGTTCAAGTGTCGATGTAATGGTTCCATTTGGTTCTTGATGAGAGACTACGGGGGTTTCACTCTTAGTACTCTCCTCGCAAAATAGATTCCCATGACTCCTTGCAAGGTACAATTATTTGTTGTCCTAGTATATGAAAAAGGACTTTGTAAGGATACAAGGAGGAAGATAGAAGACTTCCTCAAAGAGTAGTAGTATGATCAGTAGACAATAAAATAGAAAAAAGCATCCACAACCAACTGATGCTGTAGTACAGTACTGATTATTTTTATATGTTTCCTCTCTAGTACTACTAGCTTGGGAAATATTTTTGTGTCCGTTGGATACCATTTTTAACTGGTTTTAACTGTAAAAATGAGCTAAAAATTTCTATTAGTATTTGTACGTCATTGACAATAACTTGACATTATGGGGCCCGTATGGCCCTAACAAACACCAACGTACGGTGATACTGAATCAGGGGGCAGCACTGAGGCGCTTGCAAACGGGTTTTGTCGAAAAAGGGTTCGGGAAGTTGAGCAAGAAAATTATCCCTTCGGGCTCAAGCAAGGTACGGTACGAGAAAAACAGAAACAGAAACAAAAACAAGTGTGAGGCTCAAAATTGGAAAATTGGCAGTGACAAGTTCCATCGCACCGCATCAATGAATGGCTCCGCACTGACACCAAAGCAGAATCCAAAACCAGTATCAACACAAATATACATCGTACAATCATGAATTCTATCGCAGCAGATCCACCAAACATAGGAGTCATTGGGTGCGGGCCGGCAGGAATGTTTTTCCTTCGGCAATTGGAAAAGGAACGGGAGCGATTGCTGGATCTCAAAAAGAAGATTGCCGAATCAGAGCCAGTGAGGAAAGGCGAGGGAAGCGACAACGGCTACGAGTATGATGCTGACACAATTGATCAGCGACTTTTTTCGCTGCCGATCGTCACCGTTTTCGAAAAGGAAGGGCGCTGCGGGGGGTTGTGGCAATCGAAATTGTCGTCGCCAGAAACCAATGGTGAAGAATCGTCGGGGGTAGCGTGGTCACAAACGAAGGGGGCATCGAGGAAAAAAACGAATGCCAATGGAATATACGACGGCATGTGGATCAATGCTCCAAAAGAAATATTTGAATTCGAGGATTACACCTTTGACGAACACTTTGGAAAGCCGATGCCGTCCTTTTTGACACGAAGCCAGGTATTGGGATACCTGGAAGGGGCCACCGACGATGTGATCGATATGTACACAAATATAAATTCAACAATACGAAAATCATTGGACGACAACAGCAGCGCGCTCGGAACGATTCTGTTCAACACGGAGGTTTCGTGGATCGAGTACAGCAAAACCGACGAATACTTTTGGGTCGAAACGGTTCCCACCGGATCGATTCCGAATGCTTCTACCCAAGAGTACGACCCCAAAATCGTGACGGGACACAAATTCGATAAGATCATATTCGCCACGGGAACGGAAAACCTTCCCAACATGCCCCAGCGCGAGGTTCGGTTGCTGACCGGAGCAGACGCCGACAACGGTGCAGCAATCTTTGACAAACCGATCCTTCATTCCTCCGAGGTCAAGAGTCTCGGGGCGGATATCACCGGCAAGCGATTTTTGTTCATCGGGGCCGCCTACAGCGCCGAAGACCTGGCGCTTTCCTTTCTCAAACGCGGAGCCGACCATGTGTATGTCACCGCGCGCAGGGACGACGCCTACCCCGTGACATACACCCCTCACTGGCCGATGGACAAGGTGACGGTCCTGATGCGGAACGAAATCAAGGAAGTCTTGCCTGGGAACAGGTTGCGAATGGGACGCATGGATCTCCCGTCGCCGGTCATCGAAGACATTGCCAAGCGCTTCTACAACGCCTCACATGACGACTTTGTCCTCGAGGGCATCGATGCGGTAATCTTTTGGTAGGTGTCTCTTTATTTGGGCAAGGGAAGGAGAAAAGAAAGATTTCGTTGGATTCGACGTGTGTGTCTCTGACGCATGAGTGCATGCGCTTCCTTCTTCCTCGACAATCCGTGCCTTCTTATACATTTTGTTCGTTTTGTTTTGTTCCGATCTCTTTCTTTTTCCTTTTGTTTTGAATGCAATGGCGTACATTTCTGGATTTGAAAGCACGGGATACACGATCAACGAGAACATGTTGCCAAACAACCTGAGAGGCTACAAAACCTATGGAGGCGTAGAGTACAATACCGAATTGGAGACGAAAGTTGACAAAGATGACTGGCCGAATATATATGATACAGAACTCTACGGGTCGGAAATACCGTCCGAGACGTTCCAGAACTCCTGTGGAACCTCTGTTGACGACCATTCGACCGTAGTACGGGCTGACCCGACGGGGCACTGTTTGTACCAAATCGAGGGAGCCCACAACCACCACCTGATCAACAACCCGGGATTTTTCTACCACCACGCCGAATTCGAAACGCCGCTCCTGGATCTCGACATACATTCTGCGTACATTCTGAAAGTGATCCTGGGGGACATCCCCTCGCCGGACACAATGGAAGAAATGTTTCGCCAGCGATCGCTGGAAACCGCCGAGGCCATYCGCCATTCCCAGCTGGTTCGCTTTCTCTACGATCCTGTATACCATGAGGCTACCATATTGAAGTCCTATGAAGGCAAGCTGAACGAGCGCTCTTATCCCAGTGCATACCAGTTTTTCAAGCTCTTCTCCAAGGCCCGGCGAGCCGGTCATCCCGCAGGAAACATGATCGTCGAGAAGAATGCAAACGCAACCACCATGAAAGGTGGCACCACCGATGCCATTCCGAGCTGTTATGATTTGCGTGCGATTAAGTTTACCGAAGACGATTACCATCAAAACGACGATAGCAACCAGAGAGCTGCGTCGTCGTCGCCATCCACTGCTGCAACCACGTGGGTATTTTCCGAACGGGGTCTCGTGTTTTTGAAACAGTTCCTCGACTCCATGGAAGCCCACTGGGAGATGCAGCCAGGCACCAACATGACCTTTCGGGATTTTCGGTTCGATTCCTACCAATCGGTTTACACCGGCACGAAACCGAGGCGCTTTTCGAAACTGTGGCTGGAGGTGGACGACCTTGTCGGTGACGAAGGTGACTTCCATGATCGAACCACTAGCACCGGAAACAACAAGGGTCGCATACGCAGAAACCACGATTGTCCAACTTGTGACACCGACGCTCGCTCGGAGCTCTGAAAAGCGAGCAAACGAACGAAACAAGGAGGGAAAACGGACGAGTTTGTAATGATGGCGTACAGTGTTCGTGTCCTATGCAACAGAAAGAGCCGCGGTTTCAAGATAACAGCTATATACGAATGTCGATGGAAAAACCTTAGAGAAAGTTGCAAATAATCCCATTCGATCTACCAGTTCTTTGTGCCGTAGGTGTAGTGCTAAAGCAATTTGTGATTCGTTTGTTTGGCTGCGGGTTGTCGCGCCACCGTAGATCATTGATGGTCATCTATGGTAATCCTGGAGAGGAAGACGTCGTCGGCATATACTTTCGTCCCTTGGAGTCCGAGGTATTGATCCAGTCGGCACGATCTATCGTATCAAAAAAATYGGCATCGTCGTCGTACTATCGGGGATATTCCCTGCAGGGAATCCAGTTGGATTTTAAAAATATTGCTCCGGCAGGAAAGCCGGGTATGGTCAGGTGACTGGGTCTCTATGGATCCTCGAAGGCGTTAGAGAGCCTGGAAAGATATTTTTGAAACTTTGCGATTTGAGAAGGCGGTACGGGTTCATTTTTTACCATCTCACGAAACCAATCCTCGGTCTTCCAGCCCTCGATGATCGTCAAATTGATCGAGCATAACTTGGGTGCAACATTTTCCCAAAAGTCTTGCTTCAGAGCCTTCGCGTCGAAGTTCCAGGAAGGATCCGCTAGCGCGTCGGCCAGCTCTCTCTCAAAAGAAAGGGTCATGTTTAAAAACTTTTGTAGGCGGTCTTTCCCCGGACAAACCTTGCTTAATTCGTCAAAAACATGCGATCCCCTTAGGCGAGCCCGGATGGCGGTTTCCGCCTTCTTCGTCACATTGTATCCCTGGGCACGCAAGGCGCCGAGCACCGATATCTCGTAAAGCGATTGGCTCGGATTGGCCGGCAATTTTTGGTTGCCCATGGAGCCGGCCCAGGCGCGAATGGTTCGGCACGTGACCGGTGCGTCGGGAATTCCGTTGCAAAAGAAGGATTCTTCTATCGTTGTGCCAGTTSCTTTGAGACGGTCTACATCAATGACTGTGATGTTTGAAAAGTGCTTCGAATATCTTCTGTAGACAGCGACCGGGGACCACATCCCTTGTGTTCCGAGGACACCGTTCGTAGCGAGCCACTTGTCAATGGTGGGGAACACTACGCCATCGCCATGTAAATCTCTAGTCGACTTAACAAATTCATTGTGCATCGAGCGAAACCAGAGATCGAAGCGCCGGTGGTACAATACGATCCGGACTCTGAAGCTTGGTTCCAGAAGTTTTTTGAGGAGGGAAATTTCTATGTATGGGTTGCTGAACTCTTCGCTCGAGAAGACAATGTTGGAAGCTTCGCAATCCGCCCTGTATAGAAATTTTTCAAAGTTCGCTACGAAGGATTTGCACCAGCCTCCAAGGTTGTCAGGGTTCAGGCAACCCGCCAAATGGGCCGTGTTCTTATCAATCGGTAAGTCTCTAGTGTTGTCCTTGGCGTAATAGTAGTCGTATGCTGTTATGTCGATTTCATTGGGTCCCCCCGGTACCACCGGAACCACATATTTGTCGTGTTCTTTCATTTGGTCCATGAACTGTAACACTAAATGCTGGATCCCGTTCGATCCCGTATTACGTGGACCGACGTGAACAACAGCCAGTGGTCGTTTCTGCCGTGGTTTGCAATCGTGCTCTTGTAACCTGTCGCGCGTGGCTTCCAAGGAAGAGATCCCAAAGTCTATGATTCTCAGCATGCGAGACTCGTTTAGCAATCTGTGACATAGCAACACCCCCACCAAAAAGAGCCATCGATACGCTCCAGGGTGTTGTAGAAGGTTCCTAGTGCTTCTGGTAGGGATACTGGTACTTCCACTTATACGGTTTCGGCTGCTGCTTCTGGTCGACTTCGGAAGAACTACCGTCATYGCGCCGACTCTGTTCCATACCTCACGTCCAAATTCGTGGTTCTTAACTCTTAAAGCAGCCGAGTCGTCTTTGATTGCTCTGCGATTGAGGACAGGAGTTGTAAACCAGACTACTCAGGTGACTTTGTGCTTCTAATGATGGGTTTATGAACTGAGTTCATTTGGTTGTTGCTCATAACCTGCAAAATGCTGATAGGCTCCTTCGTGAACGATGGCGTTGTTTGAAATAAGGAAGAGCGAGATTATTCGACATGAGTTGTAATCGACCAGTTGCTGGATTTTAGCATAATCACGCGCACAAGAGTACGAGTACTGAAGTGATACTAAAATTGCGCACTAAGAAGAAACACTAGTTAAATTTTTGTTTCATGTCTCGCATCTCCTTGGAGTACAAACCTGCATTATTTGATTACTGTATTCTAAAATTGTACCGACACCCCCTCCTCCTGCTGCAATGAAAACAGCTTCTCCACCCTCCACTATTGTGCACAATCCCCATGCAAAAAGAAACTGAAAGCACCACCACCATCACTGGTGATAGTACTACCACAAGCTCTCCCCCCCCCCCCACCGCTGTTAACAGCAGGAGCTGTCAAAAGGTCCATTCCTCCAAGAACCCTGATCCTCTTTCAAACAAGGACCCTCCTCCTCTAGAGGACACCAATAGTACTAAGCAGCAAAGACGGACCACACCAATACTAAAAACAACACGGAATAAGGAGGCTTCACCACTAGCAAAGTCAAATGACGGATGTGCAAAAACCTGTGGGAGTGACTGCTGTCCTAAAAGTGATGTAAAGTGTGTGCTAGTAGAAGAAAAGTGAGTTGATGCTCTTATCGAGGATTGACGAACTATGAAGTCTAGAATCGATCACTGTGAGCATCGAGTGATGTGTGGATCAAATGAGTCGAGCCACTCACGCAAGTGAATGAAATGAGTCATATCAATCATATGAATCCAGTGGGATCGAGTGAATCATATATGTATGGTGTGTATGAATCATATATACGTATCATATGTATGTGTTGTAGATATGAGTCATACGCACAGTCTGATATCCTACAGACAACACAAGAAGTCCTCTGCCAATCTGTGACAACACAAATGATGCATTCAACTCCTCACTTGGAAGTGATGAATATCAGGAAGCAGAAGCTAGTAGGACAAAGAAGTATGCAAAGACCATTAGGGGAACTCATGAAAAATTGATACAGATTGTAGCTGATGCAACCAACCCACCAGAAAAGAACGATCCAGGAGATAAGCAGTTTATGTACTACAAAATGTTAACAAGGAAGGCCGTCCTAATGACGGATGGGATGACTGGTGAGGACTACCTCTTCTACAAACATGTAACAGGAAAAGCTAACGCAGTGAGCAAGGAAATTATGGATAGAGCACTCAAAATATGGGCAAAGCACATAAAGAATACTAAGACCGGTGGTCCCCTGCTGGACACTAGTAGTAGTAGCACTATGACTGTACTAGGGGTTCTTGTGTTGTAAAGCTAATCCACTTTTATTGCATGAGGTGTGATCCAAAGCAACAAGGGCACTTCCTTTGCCACCCAAACTTGAAGAGGAAGAATAATAATCCGTATTTCTTCAAAGGCAATGTGCCTGTAGGGAAAGGATCCATAAGAATATGGGGGGTTAAAGAGTTTGATGAGGTTGCTGATTTCAAGAAGGACCTCATGATAATTGGCATCAATGCTGCACTATCCTTGCCTCTGATCTTGCTGTTCCTGAAATGATGAGGATGAATCATATCCGGCACAAGAGTAGTAATACTTCTAGGTCTCGATCTAGTGTTTACTTGCTTACTAAAGTGTCCCACAATTAATTTTTTAGTGTAGATTGTGAATTTGATTGCATGCTATGGGACTACTAAAGTTGTACTTAAATGCTAATTTGCAGTTTTGATGACTAATCCACTAGTCAAAAAGATGTTTTTGACTTTGATAAACAAGGGTCATCCCCCTATGCATTGAATCTATGCTGACATACTCTATGAAATTGTGTTTACAGGATTAAGTATGCAACTTCATAGAATCATAGATATTGAATTACTATGATGGACTACATGTGCTTAATTTGGAATATGTAATTGTATGTAATGGGTGCAGCCAATCCAGGGCTGTCCATCTTGGCTCTCCTTGCTCTTTGTGATTCAAAAGCCTTCTTGAATCAAGTATTCCAAAAAAGTGTGTGTGTATACTTTTTTGGTTGACAAGAGCCTGCAAAAAACATAAATCTATGATTCCTCTATAGTGGAAACATACAATTCTATGTTTGCAAGACTGATAATTAACTGTAATTAGTAGTATAAACTTGTMTGGTTCTAAATAGGTGTGCCAAGTGACCTCTCCTGTTGAAATAAGCTCAATATTTTTTGAACTTGTCAGATCTAGTATTATATTTGTGTACACTTGTGTTAAGTGCAATATACTCATAGCATCATTGATGCACTCTTAATAGCTATTGAAAGAGGGCTTTTTTGGCATATGAGTTGTTTGGCACTTCATGCAAGAATATTCAAACAATTTGGAAACACTACAAGCAAAATTGGCATCCAATCACTTGCCCCGCTGGTGATGTGTTCCCAAGAAAAAACAAGTGCAGTTGCAAACCAACAAGGTCCCTATCAGACCTTGAAGTCATTAGAAGTATCCCCCTACAGAGCCTTTCAGCTGCAGTAGGAATTCCAAAGACTTTCCGTTCATGCCTCATCAAGCGAAATAAAACTAAGAAGCAAAACAGAAGTGCTGAACCTCTGTTAACACCTGTGAATAAGCTCAAGCAAATTGAATAGATATTGAGTCATATTGATGAGGAAAACAGAAGATTTGAAGAACTGGTTCTGTTGGATACATATCAATCAGATGGCTCCATTTGAAGAGGAGAACAATGCAAACTACCTATCTGCTTGCTGATGAAGATGAGCCCAAGTATTTTTCCAAGTCAAAGAACCATCATATGACAAAGGTATAATCTTTCTTTGTGCTACAGCAAGGTCTAGTAGAAACCACATAATGTGAAAGGTGATGTGAGCAAGCAAATATGGAGAAAGTACTGCCTGCAATCAATGTATAAAATGGACTAGGGGGGCTGATGGTGGTCCCCCTCCCAAGATGGACAAAGTGAAGCACATAGCAAGTCATCTCTGGGAACTGCTGTTGTGGGAGTTGCAGCAAGTGCAGGCAGGGAGATTCATGTGACCACTCAACCACCAAATAGTGACGTCCTGATACCATGGATGTTGTTCTTGACCTCAGATTCTTTAATTCAATTCAGCAGAGTTTGCAATACAATAAGAACAAGCATACGAATAATTTGATTGTTACTAATGTTGAGAAAGCTTTTGATGATCATCATGAGTACAAACAGGAGACTCTGAATATGTGTTTTTATCCCTCCAGACATGTATGGAGGCATCACTTGGTGCTATGGGTGACAACAAGACCCTAACTTTATTCTGGAACTAGAAGGCAAAATGACGGTGTTGTCACGTCTAGATTGCACTTATGTCATCTCAGTGACAATGATGATTGCTTCTACCACTACGGTCATCGCTTGGGTGGCGTAAGGTATTTCTCAACCTCCTCCGTATTCAACCCTGGAATATTTCAGGCTTGCTTGGGCCATAAATTCTGTCTGACATACGCCCAAAATGGTCCAGGTTCTGCTTTGCCTGAATCACTTTGTTTGTGGTKGTCGTTGGACCACCACCACCACAAAAAAGGTCACTTGGTAAACCTATTTCTTGAGACTGGAGGAAGTAGTAGATTTAATATGGGGATGACAAATGACCCAATTTTTAAAGCAGTTTCTATTTTTAGACTTACTGTATGGTATGATGGGCAGCTGTTCACTTTGGCCAAAATGTCATTTTACATCGATTCTTGCGTTCATTTCTCCTTAGAGTTAGCCCATGGACAAGAAAAATAAGAATCAAGCAATCTGATTGGCTAATAATATTGCAAATATTGCTTGGATGTGAATAAAGAGCAATTTATTTTGTTTTGACCAGTTTGATTCAATAACAGAATTTCATTCAAGAGTTAAGACATATCAAAATGTTGTGTTTTGACTAGTTAGAATATATTTTGACTAGTTTGAATACGTTTTTGACTAGTTTGAATAAGATTAACCTGAATTCTAAATTAACGCCAAAAATGCTCTAAAATGACACCGTGAATAGTCATGGCGAGCCCTTCGCTTCCAGACGCACAGTATGAAGAACGAACCCTTATTGCTTACTGTACTTTATTTTGTATTTGTTTGTTATGCACGTCCACTACTATAGGATCACGAAGATTAAGTAGGGAAATATTTTTGTTATGTACTATTACATAAGTACAGGTACCAGGTAATCAATCTCAACTCTGTTCTGATTTTTCAAAAATAAAAGCCGAAGTAATTGAATGCATGTGAATTGGAATTCTGGAAAAACGTAAGCGCATAAAATATTATTGAGCACTCGTCGAAGAACGAAAAAGAATATGTCTAATGTGTCTTCTATAATTGTTCTAGCCAATCTCTACATTTCCAGCATATTTAATGAAAATAAAATATGGGACAGGAGCACCCCTTCTTTGCAATCCAGCGATCCTCGCAATGCATAAGTAGAATTTGGCAGAATGAATGGGACCAAAACCTGAAGAAAGAAAGCTGAGGACTGGCAAGTGCGGCCGGTAGTAGCATGAATATTTACCGTATTATTCGCTACGTATCAGGGATTAGAAATGATAATACTTCCATTTGAAATAGAAGATATTTTTCATCGATATGTAGGCCTTGTGTGGCGAACAATATCCGAAAGAACAATAAGTGAGTAATTTTTAAGGGTTTTCATGTGCTCCGATAGGAATGAGTTTGATGCTTCCTTCGAAGTTAGTATTAATTGAGACATCTCATTCCGAACCTTTCCCTTTCGAAATTCAATACAAACTATATTTGTACATTCCAAATTTATTGAGGTATGTACGTTAAATGACGTTTAGGAACAGACTAATCTCACTTGACTTATGATAAGCAGAAACCTTTTTTCGTTCACTTTCTTTTCCATTTTCAGTATGTGGCATTTTGAAATTGCCCAAAATTTCTGTCTTTACTTAATACAGATTCTTCTTTATAAATTCCATAAGTGGCCTGTAACTTCCAATCGACGACCACCTTCGTAGTCATTACTTTTTTGCAATCCCACTTTTTTCGCATCATTCTTCTATCTTCATGGATTTAAGAGACTCTACCTGAGCCATCGTTAAGTAGGTACTGCTCGTAGTGTTTGTACTGCTTCGGCATGGCTTCGGAAAAATTGAAATGGATTTTCCTCACAAAAAAAGATGCGAGTGAGCTTTCACTGTTTATCGCAAAACCACTTTATGGGTCTAAAAATGTGCAGTTATAATCCAAGCAAAACCGCAACACCAAGCAAAATCATGAAKAGACAGTCGCAAGAACAGCAGTCGCAACAGACAGATGGATCTAACGTTGGTCAGCAAAGCACAAGCGATAACAACAACGATGAGATCGCACAAAACGGAAGCCGCAATTCCACTGCAAATTTAGAATCAGAAGGATTGGCATCTTCCCCGGATGAGGATTTTTCATCATCGGGAAGCACAGGCGAGACGATTTCGAGCTCAATGACGAATAATAGCAACAAGAACGATGAAGGAGTTGGTACCCTTCGCGAATATGACGTCCTCATGGGACGGGGATCAGGACCAAACCGCCACGAGGGGAACATTCACTTCCGAGCAATTGTGGGGGAAGTTTTCGACGAGTTTTTGTCCCAGACCATTGGCGCTAGCGATAGTCTCAACAGCAGAGGAAGATCTGAGATGCTCCGAATCGATCCCTCCACTAAAAATCGATTGGCCCAGGCAGTTCTGGACAAGATCACGATTGAGAAGAATGGTCGCTTTCTACAAAAGCTAACTAAGAAAGAAATCTTAGATGCTACCAGTAAGGGAACGTCATCTGATTTGATCAGGGCTCGGGCTAATTCAATGGATGCAGCAGCCATGACAGCCGAAGCTATGGCGGCAGAAGCATCGGCGACAGAATCAGCTAGCGAGAGCGACATCAAAGAAGATGCCAACAACCAGGAAACCATCAACACTATTGTGTACTACAAGATTATTCCCGAGAAACAAATTCTGGCAAAGATCAAGCAAACTTTTCGATTCCTGCGGGACAAAAATGAGGCCTCCTACTTCGCCGAAAAACACCGCCAACGTGCGAAGCGTATGGCTTGCCGTGGGAACTCCAGAGGGGCTTGCTTGTCGGCTTCATCTTCATCGTTTTTTAGCCTTAATTCGAGAGGCCTTCCTGGTAACTGCTCATTCGCTGCATATGCTTTGCTCTCCCAAAATCCAAGCCTTGGGGCAGCGATGAACATAAACCCTCTATCTCGACAGCTTAATTTTGCAAGTAGCGCCGGGAATGGGGTCAACAGTCTAAACGGCTTATCAAATGGGAATAATCTCTGGGCGGGTAGGAACATAACCACCAGTATGGGCAATATTCCTTCGAAGGCTGCCTCATCCCTCAGCAGCCTCAGCTCCCTCAAGAACTGCACGCTGAATAATGGTGTTATTGGGACAACCTCCAGGAATATGGATTTGGCTTCTCGAATTTTGTGTGATCTTCCGCAACCCAACCGCATTATCTCCGGTCCCAACTCCTTAGGAGGATCGTCTTTGATGTTGAACGGTTCTTCTTCACTCGTAGCGATGGGTAACGCAGCGCGGGGCGTGAACAATAGCAGTAGCAGCTTTCTGAACAAGGGAAATTCTTCTGCTGACCAGGCTACCACCAAGCGATTGCTTGAAGAGCTGACTCTCTCCAGGCTGGTCGACCTCCAAAAGCAACGGGATCAGACTATCAGTGCATATCTTTCTTTGGAAAGGGGAACAGGTGGATCTTCCGCTGGGAGTAGCATATCCCCAATCGAACGGTTATTTGAAAACGTGAATGGTACTAATTCTTCTGGAAGTTCTGCAAAAACCACTCTCGCTCTCCCGTCCGATATAAACAGGAATCACAACAGTGTAGCCAACAGCACCCCCGACTCCCTCACACTTTTGCTGCAGCTCCAAAGCAATAGTAGTAGCGGCACAAACATAAATCGGAGTCATCGTCAGTTGGCTTCTGTTTCCACTGGAAAGAATGCACTTCGTGTTTTCAATTCGATTTAAATTGGTTGACAAGTTCCAAATTATATTTTGCTTGCTTTGGCCAGGCAACCAATCGTCGGAAGAATAATTCAGATGCTTATGATGAAGTTCTACAAGCAAGACGAGGGATCGATGAAGAATAGATGCCGAGGCAGAATCCTTTCATTTATACCTTTCTGGAGATTGCTAGTGGATTTCCAATTATACATCGAATGAACTCGACTACGAAATCTTTCACCGGCGGATAAGAAAGTGCGAGATCAATTGGAATCTGACTCTCTGTATTCATATTGGTGTCCCGAGTCCAGAAAGCAAAATATATTCTGTGTATTGAAACATTCGTCACCGTGGCAAACTGGCAGCACGGATCGATAATCGATACGCAGGGAGCTTGTCGAGATCGAACTTACATTATATTCTATTCCATAGCACGAAATAACGATTACATTTCGAATAAATGAGGAACTGCAGGAAAAAACCCACGCAACACAGGTTGCGACATGTTTCCTCTCAGTTTTGACGGCAATTTTGGTGACACATTTTCATAAAACATTACATACATGCCTTCACATGATCTAGAAAAGAATCTCTGACAGTCAATCCAGGATCATATCTTTGAGGTTCTTCATATCAAAATAAGGCGTCAGTCAATCAAGGCTTCGTTGGGTATCCAGAAGTGACACCATACGAGCAACTGCTGCACGACAAGAGCCTTCAAGAAAAAATTTAAGCTACATGTTTTAAAATAATCTTACTATATGAAAATCTGGAGGGGTTAGGATCACTGTTAGAATAGAGTTTCGTACGATTTTCTTTCTCGCATTACACCACGGTCCTCCGACACAAGAAGTTCTACAATTGCGTACTTGTATTTAGCAGCTCTCGATCGAACTCGTCGCGGAAGGGTTTTCTCGACGACAAAGCTCCAACGCTATGCGGTTTTCGTCATCGTCGTCGAATTCGGAATCGAACTCGCAATCGCAAAGGCCGTCCTCCGAAAAAATGTCTCCGAGCAGTTCCGCAAGGTCTCCCTCGGATGGACACACAGCTGCTTTCACGCGCGGTGGCTGTTGATCCTCGTCGTTGCTGTTGCCACCGGCCCTCTTGATCCACACCCCCGGAACCCCTTCCGCGGTTCCATCGGCTCTCACGGCAAATCGTGCTTTGGAGTCGGTTTCGGCGCCGGTGGCGCTTCCCACCGACCCGGCCTCGTCTGGGAGCGAGTAGACCCTGTACCGGCTTCCCTCGACAATGAACGCCGCGTGGTGATCGATGCCGATGCCAACCACATCCMTACTGGTGGACCGGTCGGACAGGGAGGCAGCACGCTTCAAGAGCATCGCATCAAAGTCGTCGGCCCGCAGGAGGCCGTTGCTCTGGATCCGATCGTGGTGCGGACAGCAGATCATCTTTCCGGGGACAAAACCCAGCCCTGGAACCCGCAGATACTTCCATTCTTTCTTGTTTCCCTCGTCATAGGCGGAACTCTCGTCCTGGTGGTTGTCTCTGGGATGGCTCTCCCCAAATTTTCGCAGCATCGGCTCCACATAAGTGTCGGGATCGGCGCTGTCGCTGTGTCCCGAATCGAACCAGCAAATGGCACCGGCCGATCCTCCCGTCAGGACACACTGCCGTTCCATCGCCTTCCTAAAGTACGGGACGAGCCCCAGTTGTTTCCACCGATCCACGGCAAAGAGGGTGTTGCCTCCCCCTACAACGATAACGTCGGCGGCTTCGAGCTTGGAGGCGCACTTTTCTCGATCGGGGGGAGGGTTGGCATCGGCCAGTGCTACGTCCAGCGAGTCGACGGTGAAACCCAGGTCGACGAAGCACTTTGTTTGCCTCTTCCGGAAGGATAGCAAATCGTACGTGGCCGTTCCGATGTAAAGAACATTCACGCTGCTCGGGTCGGAGCGCCGCCTTTGCTGGACGCCCGGTGGCAGGAGCTCCAGGATCTGTTCGACGATGAGCGGGTTGGACATCCCGTCCGACCCGGATCCTACAAAGCACCCGCGAAGATTCGGATTGATCCGCATGGCCTCGGAAGTATAGCTCTTTCTATCGGCACTCCCTTCGTCGACGCGTGAGAAAAACAGTCGAAAGGGCGAGATCCCCGAGAACGGATACGGTCTTGTGCCAGCAGCAGCAGCAGTAGTAGTAGTAGTTGTTCTTGCGAGCCCTGGTTTGTGGAACAGTCCACGGGATCCACCAGAGACCGAGAACGGAACCGCGTGCCGAAACGCAGTCGTATCTGTGGCAAGGATGGCCGTGGCGACAGCGACAGCCACGCCCAAACGAGCGGGAGAAGGACAGAGACGGAGCCAACCACCCCGGCGGTTGGGACGTGTTCCTGCCGCGTCGATGGGAGCCGCGGTGGGATCGAGAGTGCGATTGCACTGGTTCCGTGTTCTCGTAGTCGGCTTGCGGCGGGAGGCAAACAAGGGAGGAACTTTTGTGGATTCGGTGATTCCAAGCGCCATCGGGACGGATGCTTCTCGAAGACAGACGCAGCCGGGGAGTGTTGTCTGTCGTTCCGGTCCGTGGAATCTTCCCGTTCGTGGGTTGCCTCGGTTTGTTTCGGGTGTTCCCACAAAAAGCACGAATAACTACATCCATACGTATGTACGTACGTACGCTATGACTAACCGGACAAGAATTATTTTCGTTTGCTTTTGGAGCAAATGTACGTACGAATACGTACCCTACGGAATACGGTACAAGAGTACAGTAGAGGAATCGATGAGAGAAGATCTGCAAACCAGAGGTGTTCCAGTACTACTTACTAGTAGAACGGAAGGAACAATTAGCTCGAGACGCCTCTTCGCACTGCAGCCCGGAAGCACCTATTCACACAGAAAACCGTAGAAGACAGCAACAGGAGCTCGTTACTAACTAGGAGTGCAGTGGATTGCTGCACTCCAGAAAGAGGCAGCAGCAATGCTCTGCGAGGTTTTCTTCCTGGCACGGCAACACGCACGAACCCGATGCATCGCGGGCTTGGCGTCTGCCACGGCCAAAAGCCGTACGGACCGGGACCGCTCCCCCGGCGGACGCGGTGCTCCTATCGCCGTCCGTACAGAGCGGATCGCCACAGGTCGGCCACCGAGGGATGCCCTTGGTTGGTCCGGGCCTTTGCCTCGATCGACACCAGGACGTCTTCGTTGTGTTCCCCGATGAGGCCGGTCACGGCCTCCCCCGCGGTTTCCACCACCCGGGTCGACACGAGGGACACCAGGGCGTACGGGGATCGCTTTTCGTAGTCGAGGCACGCGAGGTCCTCGCCGCCGCCGGTGTCGCCGAATTCCCACCCCGGGTGAAAGGGAGCCACGATCACGTCGTCCTCCAGGTCTTCCGGCCAGTCGTCCTCCAGGTCCATAAACCAATCGAGGTATTCCGGGAAGGAGGAAGAGAGGGACGACCCTCCGGGGATTGTTTCGCGGCCCGCTCCCGCAGGATCGTCGACAGCGCGGTCGCTCGCGCCGAGGAAGACCACGAAATAAATCGCCGCTCGTTCCAGCGGCGACGGGGGGGGGGAGGCACCTTTGCTGTCGCTGTCGCTGTCGCTGTCTCCGCCGCCCCGCCCCAGGACCTCGTCCCGGAACCGCTCCGCCGCGGAATGCACGAGGCCCCCCGCCCGCTCGGTCTCGGAGGCCTTTTCCGGCGGCGGAACCAGAAAGAAGCGCATCGCCCCCGGGGTCCCGACGCTCGCCCTTGCCCAGGGGCACAGGTCCAGCTCCGAAACAAAGCCCTCGCACCAGGCCCGGATCGTCGCCACGATCCGCGCCGACCCTGCGTCGCGGGTGCCTGGTTCCGGCTTCCGCCAGGTTCCGCGGTGCCCGCTTTTKCCGCTGCTTCCGCCGTCTTGGTCCTCCCAGATCCAGGTGTAGTCGCCGTCGCCATTGCCGGCGGCGGGCGGTGGATCGTTTTCCGCCGGTCCCCAGCCCCCCGGCTCTGCACCGGAGGCCCAAAGGGTCGTGTGCATCGCCCTTGCATTTGCCCCACCCAGCGCCGCCGGTGGGGGTTGCGGATCGTCTCCCCATCGGTCCCGCAASCACTTCGGGGGGTGGTGACGGTGCTCGTGCCGGTGCCGGCAACGGGGGTGGAGACGGCCCGGCAGGTGTCCGCTCCGGGGGTGCGGCTGCAGGGCGGCCACGAGCAGAACCGAAAGCACCGTCGTCGTCGTCGTTGTCGTCGTCGTTGTCAGCAGCAGAAGCAGCGACAGAAGCCCAAGGGCAACAACGGCGGCGGGGAACAGCGTGGCCCGCGGCCTCAAGGGAGCTCGGGTGGATCGCCTCTCGACGGGTTCCTTGCCGCGAGAGGGAACCGCAGGCCCGGTTCCCGGGGCCTCTCCGATCGCGCCGCCCGCCATGTTCTGGCCGGTGCTCCGAAAGCCAAGCAAAATCCTCTCTGGTTTCGATGCGATGCGATTCGATGCGATGTTGTTTCGATGCGATTCGATGCGATTCGATTCGATTCGCTGCCACCGGTGTTCCGTGACGAGCGACAGAAAACAAACCAACAAAGAAACAAACTACGGCCAGCGAGAACTTTGTGTTATCGTCCCTGAGATGGATGTTCCAAAAAACGCTCTTGTTCCTTTTGGAAACAATTTACATGGCTCCGTGAGTACGGTAGTTCCGCACAGAGTTTCTGGCGGGATTGCGATGGATGATGGTGATGTGATACTTCGTGGTTGGCAGAAATGAGAAGGAAGGTACATGTATTTTATTATTTACTGTATTTCGTTTTTTGACGGGGGCAAAGATTTTTGGGAGATCTTCGATGGTCGTTGGTCGTCTGACATCGTCCGATCATACCGTACCTTTTCCGGAACTTTGAATTGCGAAATGTTGGTTGGCTCCTTAGTGTACGATAATACGTGGTTTACAATAAAGAGTGAGGTTATTCACTAGCTACTCGTGATTGTACTTCATCCTCACACCTCCCCGCACTTGCAAGCGCAGAATCCTCCGTTAGTGTACAATGAGTACCATGATGTACGAGGTCATTGAGAGGATTTAGATTGCAAGTGGAGCAAAATGCTTGTGAGGCATCTAACTCTGCATGATTAGTGGGGCAATCTGGGGTTTTTGTATCCGGAGCTGTGTTGGTGGAGGGGAGAGGTAGTGTTGTGTACTTGGGTCTGATGCGGCCCATAAATATGTCAGTATGCTCATAAAACTTAGTGCGACCAGTCGGTTTACTGAGGGAATCGCTGTAATTTTGATCTGACCTGGTCTTAACAAAGTTGATAAATTCATCATCAGTCCATTGGAGGATAACAAAGTGTTTCATTTCTACATGTCTTGTGCGGCGAGTGGGTTGATGTGCATTTGCCATTCTGATGGCACCATGATTGTCAGCAATGATTGGAGTAGGAGTGTTTTGTGGGATTTGCAGTTCTTCCAGGATCCATCTGAGGTATAATGCAGCTTTTCCAGCATCGGCCATGTTAGTAAATTCAGCTTCTGTGGAGCTTTGTGCTATTGTAGGCTGTAAACGTGTTCGATAGTATACTGCTGCACCCGCCAGCATCATTATAACTCCTCCCATAGATCTTCTTTGTAGTCGATCGGAAGCCCACGTCGTGTCGCATGAGCCATTGATCTGGAGTGGGTTTAGTGATTGGTTGGGTGCAAATTTTGTGAGAGCTTCCAGATTGGATATTGGTGTAGGGAGAGGAAGATCTGGTAGGTCTGTCCGTGCTGTTGGTCTCCAGTATGTGAGTCCCTCCTCTTTAGTTGCGAGGAGATAGTGAAATAGGTGTTTAACAGCATTATAATGGATCTTTGCCGGGTTATGGGAGTGTTGACTGAGTGTGATAACAGCTATGGAAATATCAATTCTGCAGATAGTGAGGGCATAGATTAGTTCTCCAATGCATTGTCGGTAGTTAAAGCCCATGGATTGTTGCAATTTCAGTGCCTCGGAGGGATCGGTGGGTCCTTGTTGTGTTTGTATGAGGGCTTGGTATGTATTTTCATCACGCATTGGTGTTGGTAATTTGCGAGTATGGTGTTTTTGGAGGGACCAGCCATGGTGAGATGCAATTTTCTCAATATAGGTTGCACAGTGAAGATGATTGTAATGTTTAGTCTGGTTGACATGGATTCCATTGAATTTTCTTATAGTGCCGAGTACGTTGAGTGGATTGGTCATACGTTGTTGTATTTGGTCCCGGACTGTGTCACAAACTGTTGGGTCGTTATTAGCGATTAGGAAATCATCGACTTGGCGTAATATAAGGGTGAGACCGGTGTTATCGTGTTTATAATAAAGGCATGGTTCATGTGTAGTAGGAGTGAAGCCCAATTCCTTAACTAAGAGCTTCGATATATACTTATCCCAAAGGCGTGGGGATTCGGGGTGTCCCTGGAGGGCTTTAAGAATCGGAATAACATGGCCTTCTGGAATGGGGTCACGTTGGAGGCATTCTGTCCACCACTGTTGGAATGGTTCATCTACTGTCATGTAAAAGGGGGATTGAAGGGCTGGGGCCTCAGCAAAGGCGTTTCCCACGTCATAGCCTATGCAGATGAGATTTAAGGCTGCCGCCAAGGCCCATGTTAGTCTATGGATGGGTTGTTCAACACATGCAGCATATGTTTCTGCAAGTGTAACGGCCTTGCCGTATCGTTTGCCGCCATTACATGTGCCTCTGGATTTAGGTTCGGCCTCGCCAGTAAGCGGATTCTCCTTATCTATGTATGTCCAGACCCATGGTAAGATTGTTTTATCCGTTGAAGCCGGTACTGGTTGGCCAAACATACCAACCTTGTCATATCTGTTAAGCTGTTTCCATTCAGATTGGAGGAAGCCATTCCACCGGTCTGTCTGTATTAGTCTTCGTCGCGTGAGTTTGGCTAGGTTAATCTGGTGGTTAATCATATCTGGTGAGTCAATAGGTGCTGGCCAGTCAGTCTTGTCCGTCCATAGGTCCTGATCATAGTTAAGGTGGTGTAAATGGTGGGCAATAACATTCAGCTGGTCTGATTGAAGGGTTGGAACACCTTCTCCACTTAGTGCAAAGCCAGTGAGGGATCCAAACTTGAATTGGATATTTGTCCGGTGGTTGTTCTTAGCTGCTGTAATAGCATTGACAATGTCCTGCCGGCAAGTGACAGGCTTATCGTCGACTGATGTAATGATGGTTCCACGGAGTCGGCGTTTCCATCCCCGAATGCGAGTGTGGGCAATTGTACCAATTTGAATGGAAACGAGTTCTACCGCATCATTAATGTCCGGGTGTGGTTTGGTTATAAAGCCCATCGTGGGATGGAAAGTGGATGTATTCTTTAGGGGTAATGTGTGAGTCGTTTCTTTCATGTATATATTGGTAGATATGTCCAGTGTTTCCAGCTCTGGTATGAGGGCGGACAGTTTTGGTCTGTCAAATTTGGTTCGCCGGATCTGGGCTGTGGCTGTTGTTGCCGCGGCTGCCATATGTATCTGGGCTGTAATCTTTGCTGCTGCTGCAGCTGTGTACGGAACAGGCGCATCCTGCAGGATTTCAGTTATTATATTCTCTGGGTTCCGTTGGTGGGATTCCGAGAGCTGTATTGCAATGGGATGTGGTTCTTTGTTAGTGCAATGTTCTTTATGATGGCCTTCAGTGAAGGTCTCCAATAAGTGTGCAGCTGCTGGAGAGCGTGCATCCGGGTCTGTCCCATACTGTAATTCATCCTTGGAATCATGACGAGCTAGTTTATCAGTTCCAGTATGGATATCAAAGTATTTGATGTTGTCAGCTGTGCGGCCGTATCCAAGGAAGATACCATCATAGGCCCAAGGGTGTGTGGTGGTAGGTCTGGTGCCAGGGCGTTTAGCTGTAATTTTGGATCCAAACGTGATTAGGTTATCAACAAGTGGGATTTGCCCAGTATATGCCTGGAGAGGTGTCATGTCAATGGCACTGTGATATGTTCTATTATAGAGCCATGTTGCATGAAGGAGGGCATCTGTCCAGTATTCTGTGCCAAGGCCTGCAGCATATAAGAGGCATCTAATACGTTCCTTGAGTGTTCGGTGGGGACGTTCGACCAAGCCATTCTGAGAGGATGAGTCAGCTGCTGTTGTCAGTGTATCATAGCCATGTTTGTGGGCTGTATTCCTGAAGTTGGCGGAGTTCGCTAACTCACCACCACCATCTGTCATGATAGTGCAATCTAAGTGTTGGGGAAGGAGTCCGATCATGTAGGACTGATCCTCCGGTGTGACTGTATAGGAGTGTGTGGTTGCTGTTGACGTAAACGCTTTGGATCTGGCTAAATAACCCTCTTCAGTGGTAGTAATAATAGCCTTTCGTGGGTCCGTGGTTTGTATGCCGTGTTTAGTGAGGAAATTTTCAATGATCTGGATGGGGGGGTCCTTAGATTTGATTGGGAAGGTCCATAAGGCTCGAGTAGCAGCATCAATGACAGTAAGGAAGCCGATGAAGCCTTGTCGGCTTTTCTTGAGAGTTGGGAGAGGTTTTTCATTTGTTCGTAGGATTCCCTGGAGATTCGGGGGTCCACTAACGAATGAAAGATCCATATGGATCGATTGCATGGGAATGAATTTTTCTTTAGGTGGTTTCTTCTTACCTGAGTATTTAGTCATTTTGCTTTTCTCACAGAACGGGCACCGGAAGTATGGAGTCGACGATGGGATGGGGGGCATGCCTTCCACAACTCTCTGTGTTTTCGCAAGTGTAGAAGGTGAGGTATGTCCGTATCGTTGGTGCCACAGCTCTAGATTCTTTAGGTCCTTGGAGAGACCATTGGACCACGAACGATTCGCCTGTGTGGGTTCTGTGTCCACCTTGTGAGTTCTATGCTTTGGGGTTTTGTAGCATTGTAGTTCAGCCGCAAGGTGAGCATCCTCGAGTGCATTCAACACCAGTATTTGGTTTGAAATGAACCATTCCCCATTGTCATTGCGAGTGGTCTGTAGCGATTCAATAGTTTCATTACGTGAGTTTATGAATCGTACAGTTCCTTTGCCGTGTAAGCGGCCCTCCTGTTGAAACGCGTAGAATCCACGTGAGTTCTGGTAGTGGTCCAGGGAGAGGACAGTCCCTACTGCGTTTGGTGTATAAAGTGTTTTCCAACGCATGACTGTTCCCTGGTCTGATATGATTTTGATATAGCCCTCTCCATGTGCTGATAGTACATTTTGTAGTGAGTCATCAGTTGTGGAGAATACTCCAACGTGTTCGGGCGTATGGAATTCCCTGTAGTCATGTAGGAATGTGTCATTGTCCGTGGCCGAAATGTTGGCTCCCGTATCGGGCTGTAGTGTGTGAGGAATAGTTTTGGTAGCGGATAGGTCGGTATCCTTGGATTTGAGCCGTTTAATTATGTGGGTGCCACCATTTTCTGCTAAGATAAGGTGGCGCCGCGTGTTTTTCCTATGTGTGTGTGGTGTCATGCGTATGTGAGGGGAATATTGATAATGATCTGATGCAAGGGAGTTGGCTGTTATGTCAAAAGGTGTTAGATCATTGTCACCTGACTGAGTCGTAGCTGTGTACTGAACCCGGTTGACTGTTGGTATCTTGGAACGGTCCTGTGGGATTAAGTCCTCCAGTGTAGTACTACTAGTATATTGATTGGTCTTATGCGGGTCCGTTGTGCATGTTATTAGTGGCGCCGGGGGAGGTACATGTTGAGTCTGTTGAGCGTGCTCCTGTGGCGGGATTAGAGCATTGGTAGCTGGTGTCGTAGGATCCCGTAGGGGTTGTACGGTAGAGTTGGGTGTATTATTGCTTCTATACTGTTGATCTACAGGAGGTGAGTCTTTCATAATACTGCTAGTATCCACCATGGAAGCTGTCAAAGCGGTCGAATTGGCTTGATTAGGAGTAAGTTTGTTGCGGTCATTAGAGGGTGTAGGCTCATTGGCGTTAGTTGGTGGACTGGCAGGGGTGGGGTCCGCGGATGTGGGAGCCACGGTGGGATCTGCAGGTGTGGGAGTTGAGGTAATGTGACCAAATATATCATTATCGTGTGGTGTGCTCCTAGCGACTGCATATCCATTGTTATTGTAGTGTATCCAGTGCCGGGCCCCGCTAGGGACGCGGCCTAAGCCCTATTCGTCCGGGACAATGCTATAGACCTGGACGAGTTCCTCTCGTTCGGATTCATGTTCTTCTTGTGTGAGAACACGGCCTCGAAGATTACTCTCGAAGTGTTTGACAACATGTTTCTGGTTCATATTGTTATGTTTGGTGGCATTTTGACTGAATTCGACAGGGTAGTCCTGTGCATATATCCGTGCATAATGTAGTTGGGCACCAAATCGACAGATCTGGTCCCCCACATCGTGGCCGTACATGTGACAGCATTTACATTGAACCTTATTTTTGTACTCAAATGGTTTGCGTTTTCTATCTCCTGTAAACTTGTTGATTGTAGGGGAGTGTTCAACGCGATCGATCTGCGGATGTTCGATAATGAAGGTCATGATCGACGTGAGTTTAAGGTGCGGTGGGAGTGGTTGATGTTGAGCATCCGGTGTGAGTCGAGTGTGATTGTAAAGCTGTATCATGAGGCAGAATCCTGCAGTATAGTTGAAGTGGCGCATCGATTGGTATACCAGTTCATGGCTCTGGTCTAGTTCAGTATATGTGTGTTTCCGCCCCAGTGCACAATCACGAACATAGACTTGCAGTTTTCCCACATATGAACCAGGGTCATCCGTAGGCATCCATGGAGGGCCCCAGCCATTTTGTGTTGGTCGAAGATAGTCCAGGGAGTGGCGAGCCATAGCGTAGAGGGCATCATATCCCAGGCTGTGCATTGTGAAGGGCATGATAAGGCCCCGAAGGAGAGTGAGATCCGTGGAAATGAGTCGTGAGAGACGACGATAGATGTATGTTCCAATCTTTTGGATGTTCTCCTCGGATTCAGAGTGATTGGGTGGGATACATGTACCGTAAATTGGCAGTTCCTCAAGTGTAACCAGAGGGAGGCTTTCCAGGTGCATGAGTGTTTGTAATTCATTGTACAGTGCCGTGAATTCTGCTGACGTGAGATAGCGATTTGTGGTAGGCATAAAGCTCTGATCGATATCTTTGAAGTCGAGAGCATGGAGGGCTTTGCTAATGCGGTGGTTTTGTTTGTGGAGGATTTCATCGTCCACCAGTCTTATACCACGTTCTGAATATGCTTTGAAGTTAATATCGCTCTCGCATAGCGGTGTGGTGGAAGCTGGAGCTCGGTGTGCGGGACTGGCACTCGTCGGTTGCGGTTGAAAGGCTGGTGATCCTTGAGGGGTTGAGTTCGCGGTAGGAATGTTGGGACCGGAAGTCGTGTTGGCTGTGCCGTCTGCTGTGGTGTCTGCTGTGGGGGAGTGAGCATTATCCCTGTGGTTATTAGCAGCGGCGTTTGTCGTTGTCGCCTCTGTGACTCTGACTTGGATGAGGTCTGTAAGAGCAGTAGAGGTGGCAACGAAGGTGTGGATGGATTTGTCCAGTTCTGTATGAAACTCATCCGAGGTGACGAAGTTATCCATCGTAGTCTTGATACGATCTTGGATAGCTGTTGTGGTTTGATCACTGTGTATGTGTTGGGTGATGGTGTGTTCCATGTCCGAGGTTGTATTGGATTTAGTGAGGGCCAGTTCTGTTTGTGCTTCAGAGACAGTACTTTCGATCTCGGTTGTAATATCCAGCTGGCGTTTGGCGAGTTGGTTGATGTGAGTGTCACAAAGCTGTTGCATGGTGTTCTTTGTCCTTGAAGTACGGTGGTGAACATCTTGGAGGATGTCTTCCGCTTGGGCTGATATTTCTCGTTTTGCTTGTGCGACCACTGTATCCTTTAGGCTTTGTACAATCTGATTCTTATCCTCCAATTTGCTCTCAATCACTCGTTGAACTGCCTCTTCCAAGAAGGCTGTTTGGTCGAGGATAGTTTTGGTTACTTGTGCCTCAATATTCTTGCCCATTTCCATTATCGCTTGCGATTCAATTTCTATGATTGAACGGACCTGAGTTGTGAGGTCGTGCGTAGACGGTGTTTTAGTAGTGGTGATGCTGCTTGCTTCATCACACAGTGATTTTAATGTAACTGTTGCATTTTGGAGTGATGAGAGTACTGTTGTTGCCCGTGTGGTACGCCGGTCTAGTGCCCATGTGGTGTTTGCGGCTGCCGTGATATCCCGTTGCAGGTCTCTATTGGTAGAGATAGTATTCTCAAGGGTTGTTGTTTGAGCCTCGAGTTGTTGTTTGAGGCGATCTGTGGTTGAGCGAGCAATGCGGAGATCCTCTTTTGTTTGGGCTAGTTCCTTTGCAGTATTATCATGTCCTTGTTGGATTGCAGTGATTTGAGCTGTTAGTGTGGAGAATTGGTTGTTCCATTTAGCATCATTTTCTGCAAGGAGAATACGAATGGTATCGAGGGGAACTAACGGTGTTCCTGGGGGAGAAGGAGGGGAGCCAGGAGAGGTTCGTGGTGCCGCAATGGTGTTGGTCACCAGTGTGTCCAACTGTTCATCAATTGTGTTATATACTTCATCCAGGGCTGCAATTCGTGTTTCCATCGGTGTGTGATGATCCACTGTAGTAGTGGATGCTGCACGGCGGCGTTCTTGTGCAAACTGTTCCTGTAGGTTGGTTGGAGTGAGGTCAAGGGAGTCCTCATCCGATGCTTGCGGTATTTCATCGTGGAGGTCACTGGTGGTGTCGATGGTGTTCTCCATCGTTTCCGTCCCTGTAGTTGGTCCCTCCCCTGTCATTGGGTCCTGTACGGTAGTAGGTTCTTCATCGCTGCTAGACGATGGTGCTGGGCTGGGTACCAGGTGTGGTGGTTTACGGATCGTACGGCGTGTTGTAATTGTTTCAGTTGGTGTTTCTTGGTCTGGAGGAAGGAGGGAATCCATATAGTGTATTAATGATGCACTGTACTTGTATCTGGGAAATGATGCTGTTGGTGTAGTGCTCCGTGGGCGACTGAAGTGGTTATGGTGGAGGAGTGCCAAGAGGTTGTCTCCTAATGCAGTTATCTTGTCGCTGTCGTTGAGTGTAGTACTATGAATGACAGTGAGATGGTGATTATATTGGATTGCATTCGGTGGGTGTTTGGGTTTGTATGCGAACAACGTGGTATCATAGATATTGTGTGTGGAGTCCCGTGGGAACACCAGTTGAATAGCTCGGATTTCACGTTGAATGTTTCCATGATAGTGGACCTTCATCAGTCGTTGTTGTTGTCGGGTACTCGGTCGACTGTTGCCGCCGGTGGGCTTGCTCGGTGTTACGTAGCGATCCATCTCTCCATGTTGCTTGTGGCGTTGTGGGCTACGGCGTGTGCTACGTTTGGGTTGTCGACGGGTGGAGCGTGGCATGATGTGGTCGACGGAGGGTAGGTTTTGTGTTGTGTGCGGTTGTTGTCGACCAGAATGTTGTCTGGGTATCTTTGTGTAGGGTTGTTAGGGTTCTGGGGGTTCTGGGGGTTCGGTATGCTGCTGTTTGGTGTCAGCAGGTGTACTTTCGTGCAGTACATGCGCGTATGATTCTACGTGATTTAGTATGTACTGTTCTGTCCGAATTTTCCAAAAAATTCGGGGAAAAGACCCGCAGTGCGAAGCTTCTCCTGTAGGAGTCTGGAGACAGTTCCGACTGTGTGGGGGGAGTGTTAAATCAATCCACTCATGTAGAAGACTTATTGCGATGATGAGGTGATGAGGTAAGTCTTTAGGTTGCTCATAACCTGCGAAATGTTGGTTGGCTCCTTAGTGTACGATAATACGTGGTTTACAATAAAGAGTGAGGTTATTCACTAGCTACTCGTGATTGTACTTCATCCTCACATGAATACCTTGTATTGTAAGAGGTCTTRCAGAAAAATGAGAAGGAATCAATGCAATCAATCACGCCATCTACCGTACCGTACTGGACCATACCGTACGTACTCGTACCGGACGGTAGAACTCCTAGAAAAAATCGAGGTACTTCCGTACCATATCATGATACGTATAGTATGTATGAGTATGTCCAGGGGTAGCAAATACCTGTACACCATTTTTGCCGTCTTGCATCAACCGTTTCCCAACTTTACGACAGGCACCGTTACTCCTGCTCGTGCCGTACGGTTCGTCCCGTACCAGGTACAGTACTCGAAATCGAAACCACTTCTCAGCAGCATCTGTGCATCGACTAACAGACAGATCTCAGCTTAATCTTCAGCTTCAGCTTTCGTCTCGATCGATCGATCGATTGATTGGTGATTCACCACCGGGACAAACGAGCAGCGCTCCGGCAACCAGCACCACAGGGAAATCAAATCAAGCAACAACCAACACTTCTACGGCACATTCCCACAGAGGCCGGAGATCTGGGAACGGAACGGAACGGAACGGAACGGAACGGAACGAGTCACTTTCTCCCCGAACAACAAACAAAGCCCAACATGTGGAGACTATCGGCGGGGAGGATCACGGTTGCCACGGCGTCCGGGGCCGGCGCCCGCGTTGTGGGCCGCTCGTGCCGCTCGCGGGCCCGGGTTTTTTCGGCGACGGGGACGGAGGCTTCCGCCCTCCGGGACAGACGACGCAGCAGCGGCCCCCACCGGTCCTTTCACGGGACGCACCACCGGTTGTTTGCGGTCGATCCCACCGTCGCCACCCGCGGCGTCGCGGACCCGGAGGATCCCGACGACATTCCCGACCTGCTGGACCACCGGTTTCGGAGCCTGGACGACGGCTACGACGACGACTATGGCTACGACTACGAGCGGCAGCAGCAGGAGGAGGACGAGGACGAGCGGGAACGGGAGGCCTACCGGCTCCGGCAGGAGGGCATCAACGACGAGCTCGACCGAAAGGTGGGGCGTCCCTGGAGGGACCCCTGGGAGATCTCCGAGGACCAGTGGACGGCCACCGACACCGGGCCCGACAGCATCCCGGACTGGTCCCCCTCCTTTGTGTCCCGGATCGCCCAGGAGCGGCTGCGGGTCCTCCCGGCGGAAGGTGGGTGTCCTTTGGTGCACGTGTCGTGAAGTGTGGTGTGGTATAGCGTTGCGTTGCGTTGCCTTTCGTCGTCGTTCGTCGTGTTTCCGGCACGGAGCTGCCACCGGGGTTCTCTTCTCACACCGCTTGGTTTCGATTGAATTCTTGGCGCGACACGGAATGAAACGAACTCGGTGGGTATAACATCGCACACTTTGGGTACTACCATGCCATCGCGTTCCATCGCGCTTCGTGTGCTGCCGGCCGCGACGACGCGATGCGATGCGCGACGATGCTGTTATGTTCGATGCGATGTTCGATGCGATACTCGATCCGATACTCGATGCGATGCAATGGCCATCGACGCACAGGCGGAGAAGGAATCCCCACCCTGGAGGCCCTGGCCGCCATGCGCCTCTCGGTTTCGGATCCCTCGCTCCACCCGGCCCGGGCGGCAAAGACCTACGCGGCCTACCGCAAGAGCCGGCACTTCCGGGACGTCAGGGCCTGCGTGGAGCGGCTGGCCGCGGACCGCGTCCGGGCCCTGCTGGAAACGGCGGGAGCGCAGAACGGCAACGACAACGACAACGACGACTGGCACGGCCGGCAGGACACGGTCGACGAGCTCTTTGAATCCCTGCAGGAGGAAGCCGGGGCCGACGAAGCGATGTCAATCTTGTCCAGGCACCCGGAGTTTCCCCGCTGGGTCGAGCGTGGCCTGGAGGACTACCTGCGGGAGGCCCAGAACGAACGCATCGGCACCGGCACCGGCAGCGAGGGTGCTTCCGGCGGAGGGGAGGAGGCCAAAGCCCCCGAGGAACCGCCGGAAGAAGCACCCGGGCCAGCCGGGCCCGAGGAAGGTACCCCGGTCTTTATGGATTGCTACGACGCCTCCGAGGCGAGCCCCGACGGGAGCAGCCCGGGGCCCATGGTTCCCTCCATCCTCGGCCCGCTCGCGCCCCACCGGCACGGCGGGCCGGGAAAGATGGTCGAGGAATGGGAACTGGCGGCCCACCCCACCACCAAGCGGATCCTGCTGCGGGACTGCACCTCCCGCATCGCCAGGATCCTGGCCAGCGAGCGGCGTGGCCACGGGCAACCGGGTCCCAGGATCTACGTCCACGGAACGCGGGGAACCGGCAAGTCGGCCGTCCTCGCCTCGATCGTAGCCTCGGCCAGAAAATCCGGGTGCATCGTGATGTACCTGCCGGACGGGGACCGCCTCCGGAAAAACGGCTTCTTTGTCACCCCCAGCACCCACCCCGATCGGGCGGGCATGTTCGATCTGCAGGATCTCTCCCGGGAAGCCCTGGAACAACTGGCGGACTCCCACGCCACCGACCTGGAGGGAATGGTGGCCGGCCGAGAGACCCTCGAGCAGTTCTTCAAGGAGGCCCAGCTCGAAAAAATGTACGACCGCCTTTCCGAATCCGCCGAATCCGCGGCCGGGGAGACGACCGGCGTGTCCCTGAACGATCTCGTGGGATACGCCCGGGAACACAAGAAACACGCCCCCATGTGTTATTCCGCCGTCCTTTGCCACCTCACGAAGCACCAGACCGAGAAGAAATTCGTTCTGGTCATGGACGAGTTCAATTGCTTGTTCGACCACCACGGCCACTACTTTCACATGGCGTACGACGAGCACGTGCGAGAGGCCATTCCCTGCCACCGAATCAATCTCTTCGAACCCATCCTGGCCGCCATGAACCTTTCCACCCAGACCGCGGAACAAGAAGAGGACGCGGCCGAAGCAGGCCCCGCCGACTCCGAGAACGCGTGCACCGCTTCGGTGGTGGTCGGCACCACGGAATCCCATGCCGTCCGGAGGGCCACCACGGACGCCCTCACGGAGTGCGCCGAGAGGCGTGCGGCAGGCACCGCGGACGAGAACTTTCACGTCGTGGAGGTCCCCCGCTTCTCCAGCCTCGAGGCCGATCACGTCCTGGCAAACTTCGAGGCCATCGGGATCGGAAAGCTCCGCCTGGATCGGGGAGACACCCTCATGAATCCCCAAGAAGTCGAATTCCTGAAAATGGCGTCCGGGTCCGTTGGACAAAAATTATTGGACGCGTCCATTCTGTAAATGTTTGGGCAAGACTGATTTTTGATATGAATTCTTAGACCTTCTAGTAGTAAGAGGCAAGTAGTCAGAGAGGTTATAGTACTAGTGGTACTAATACTTAATATTACTGTTGGAAGACTGGTAAGAGACCACTCAAGCACTTGAATTTACTAGTAGCAACAGCAAGAATAATGACTATTTGGCACCAGCCTTGTTGACAGACCCCTGAGTTGTCTCTGCCCACAATTTTTCAACTGGAGAGCAAAGTTCTGGCTGGTTATTGGTGGTCCCCACACAATCACTCACAAAATTGTTTGGGTCATTTTACTACAGTTAAAAAATTGTTTCAAATTATTTGTTAGTTCATTGCTGGTCCCAAAATATTTCTATTAGTGGTCCTTACTACTGGAGAGGTAAAATCATTGGTGCTTACTACTCAAGAACTAGTAGTATTTAGTACTACTAGTAACTAATGGAAAAAAACTCGCAGTACCAGCAGAACCTCATTACCCAGCAGTTTGCAGTGCTCACTACTATACTAACATCCCCACTAGTAACCAATAACAGAGGTTTTCCAGTAGTAAGCAGCACCTTCAGCAATGAATTTACCTCTCTAGTAGTAAGGACCACTAATAGAAATATTTGGGGACTTCTTGTGGAGGGGGGAGAGGGGCAATGGAGACAAAAGAATGAAAAAACAAATTATTGGGTCATTCCTGAAAACACCATATTTCCAGGCATGTAATCAGGAATTGATTTCAGTGGTACTACTAAAGACTTTGCAGGCTTGCTGAAAGTACATGATATCATCCACCAATTTTTGGAATTTGGAATCTCAAGAGCACCAAAAAGAGGAATGTTACTGCAACTATTGGAATGGGAATGGTCTTGACTTGGAATGGTTGCAATAGTGTTTGCAATCATGGTTGACATTTTTGAGACAAGTCCTTCTTTTTGTGTTGCAAAATCACAAAGATGCAATCATCAGATGCTAGTGTTACTACCACCATTAACTACTAGTACTAGTACTAGTACTAGAAGGTTGCACACTCATGTTTGCCAGCAGTTCCCCCCCTCCTAGTAATAAAATGTTCAGAAACTCCTCTTCTTTGCTGATGTGTTGTTTGGTTTTCCTTGTCTTTGTTGAATACATTGTGTGTGTTCTTCTATTGCTTCTTGTTGAGTGGGGGAAGCAAAAAAGATAGTACCGCTACTATGCTGCTGCTTTTTCTTTTACTACTAGTGGAGGAAGATGATCAAAATTCTCCATTTGGGGCCAAGTGACTCCTCCTGGCTTTAGTAGCGCACACCTGCTCACCAGACTAAATATGGTCAGTCAAGGATTCCAGTAAAAATATGTATCCATACATAGATCCTGGTTGCCACGAGCTCACTGTAACCATGATCTGTGTATTTGACATACACAAAAAGAGCCGCTGGCCCAAAAATACATTTTTCAATGTTTTCGGGAATGACACATTGGGTGATTCCCTCAAACATATCACCATATATGTTTTGGGGAATCACTTTCAGTGGTACAGAAGGCACAGYCAGCCAGCTCAACTCACATATTTTCCCACCGCTTTTGGAATTTGGAATACTGTAGAATTGCGTGCTAATTTGACAAGATTCCAGTGCTGGGAACAATTTGGGATTTTCACTCAAGAACCAGCTCTGTCTCCTAAAATTATTGAAACCAAATACAATAAAAATCCTTCTCCTCCTCTTCCAATACAACAAAAACAGTCCTTGTCCTCACTATTTGGCTATCGATTCCTCCTTCAAAGTAAAAACACCACACTATTCTACAATCATGACCCCTCAGATGGTCTTAATTGCCTGGGCAACTTCCCTTGAAGAAGAGCAGCAGCAAGAGGAGGAGGAGACAGCAAAATAACAACTGTCCCTTGAAGACACCAGGCGCCATCATGACAGGAGGATACCACAAATTGCACTCATGGAGCCTAATGAATCCCCATTCACTTTTTTTTTTGTAGTGGTGATCAGTCGGCCTTGCAGTCCTCAACCTTGCAGGTGTCGACCTTGCAGCTGGTGTTGCTGGTGGTGTTGCTGGTGTTGCTGGTGTTGCTGCAACAAGGTTGACACCTGCAAGGTTGAAGACTGCAAGGCCGACTGCTCAAGAAAGAKGAGGAAGATCTAGGGGTTCCATGAATTACACCAAAAGGGAGACAATGAGCATGCTGACAACCACCATGAGGGGGATCCTTCCTAATGCACCAGAACAATGGGCACTTGTTGTTGATACCCACAAAGAGAACTGGAAGACTGGAAGAGACAAGGATTCAATCTCTAGGAAGGATGCATCCCTCCACAGGAAAGGAATTCCTCAGCCTTTTTGAACCAGTTTTTGAGGCATATACAGTCAACAAAAACACCATGGAGATCAGACCACAACTATTCACTAAGAAAGGCAAACCAAAGGGCAATAAGAGGGCACTTACTGCTACAGTTGGACTCAGATTTTCCTTGACGTGGTACAGGACTTGTGGAACCGCAGCCAGAACATGATTGAGTATGGTTTTTGGGCTTACCTCGACACCACCCCGTCCGAGAGAGTGTTCTGYACCTCTCCTAACCTCGCGCGACGCTAATTTTTAGAATATGCACCTTTCAAAATAATTAAATGCCTCTGTGCGACTAAAATTATAAAAATACACCACACGATTCAGGGGCATCCAATTTCCGAAAGCTTCTGTCCTCTACGTCACCTGAATTTCCAAAAACTTCTGATTTGACCAATTGGAACGGAGATTATTTGT